ACGCATTATTGCCCTCATTACGCTGACAACAAACCAACTAACCTCTACGACCTTCTCGACACCTCGCAGCATCCACTCGTACACTCCGCCGCGCGAGGACGATATGATTTGTGCTGATGTTCAAGATGAAAGAGCTTGATAAAGGAAAGACAATATACTATCGCTCGAGCGCATGGAACACCTCGTCAATCAATCAATCAATCAATCAATCAATCAATCAATCAATCAATCAATCAATCGTAATACCAATACCGTCGTAGGCCACCAGTCTCCTGTCATCTTGGATTCCATCTCAGATGGCAATGGTCTCAGCGCCTCGCACGCGATCGAGAAGCGACTCAACGTTCTCCGGAAGCGTATCTCCTCTCCAAGCTACCATACCATCTGGGCGCACGAGCACGAGCTTCCGCTGGTAAAGGGCCGCAGCCTTCTCGTGCTCGATGGAAACGCAGTCGAGTGGCAACCCGACTCTGCGAGCAGCCTTGATAATGCCCTGCGCGTCCGGCGCTTCAGGCCCGAAAGAGAGCAACACAAACCCCTTGCCGAAGAGATCGATCGTAGCACGTCCCTCTTCCAGCCAGATGTGTGGCGCTCGATGACCCGGTCTCGAAGTCGGGATGTACAGCTCCGGCTCGTTTGGCGGCGCGGGCGTGCCATCGGGTACCACGAGGGGTGAGCTGGCATAGTCATATCCAAGCGCAAGGCCAATGGATTGGAATTCTTGACGCATGGTGGCTGCCATTCTCTCGCCAATGGCTTTGCGCTGCTCGTCGGCTTCGGGGCCGTCTTCGAGCACCTTATCACGTCCCTTGTCCTCCTTCCAGATGCCGAAGTTCTTGGTGGATCCCTGACCGTTGCGAATGGCGATGTGGCGTCTTTCAGTCTGGTAGGCGTGCAATAGGTGCTGGCCTCCCCAGCCTTCGAGGAGAGCTTGCAGTATCCAGCTGAGATCGGATGCGTCTCCGAGTCCGGTGTTCAGGCCATGGCCCCCAGTCGGTGACATGGTGTGAGCTGCATCTCCGCAGAGAAAAATGCGACCTGCGTTGTACTGGTCCGCGGTATACTGGCTTCTACGCCATTGCAGGACACGTCGGATAGTGAAGGGAATGTCGTCACGGCCGAGGGCTTTCCTGACAAGAGGGCTGATGTCGTAGGACTTGATGTCGCCGATCTTGCCTTCCATTCCGACAACGGAGAAGCGCCATAGATTACCGCCATCGACGGTGGTGAAGTTGCCCCAGGTTCCGTCCGGACCGATGAACATGTATCGCTCTGCCTTGGGCTCGCCAAACGCACAATATCTCCAGAGGTCTTCGATCTCTACGACGGCGCTGAGAGTGTGGCCGAGATCTTTGCCGTTGAATGGGATCCCCAGCGCCTTGCGGGCCTTGGATGACGGACCGTCACACGCAGCGACATACTGAGCGCGGATCTCTTCTTCCTCGCCTCCCTCAACAAGCTTCACAACGCACGTCACGCCGCTTTGGTCCTGCTTGCAATCCACAAGCTCAAGACCGTATCGAAGCGTCGCCATTCCTTGCCTCTCAATCGCTCTAGCAAGCACGGGATCAAACCAGCACTGCGGACATCTCTGCAACATCTCGCTGCTCTCCTCAGGCAGATCACGCTCCTGATAGGAAGGCATTTCCAGGCGGCCAATCAACCTGCCGTTGATCGATGTGCAGTAGACGGTGTCCCCAGGGAGATCTTGCGGATAGCCTGCGTTGGCGACTTCATCTCTCACGCCGAGAAGACGACAGTATTCCATGGTCCGCTCATTGAGTACACTGGCTTTGGCCTCGATCTCCGTCGCTGTGCCAGGTTTGCGCTCGATGATGGTGGAGCGGATGCCACGGCGTCCCAGGTCAAGTCCGAGTGCCAGACCGACAGGACCTGAGATGCTGTCAGCCCCCTCCGTTTCAAATGGACCGATTGCATATCGAATTCACCTGCGCCGATGATAAGAACGTTCAACGCATCCTGTACCGGCTCGATTGAACCCATCTTCTTCTCGTGATGAGGCTTGATACCCGATGCAAACGAAATTGGCGGAGGGACGAACAAGCTGTAAGCAGCACTGGGAGACTTCGTTTTGAGCGTCACTGATAGATTCGACCACGCCGGGCAAATATGCAATAAGTTTGGGATCACTTCTGTCTGTGGTCTCTGTGCGCTCTTTTCTCTCCAGGAACAGGTTTTTCTATCTTGGGATCCATAATATTATTATCACTGTAGCTGTCCTCCGACTGCCGGTTGTCCAACCGCCACTGCGATGGAGCGGAAGCCGAGCGTCCCCGAGCATGGATGGTATCTCGTGGTATGGCATTACCACCGCTTGCGTAGCGCGATCCGACCACAAACCCTACGGGCAGCTTCCCAAAACTACCGCAGCTCCCCCTCCCAGTATAACGTTAATAATGTTGTCTTTATCCACGTTCACCGTATGCACACAGCTAGCCACCGCGAAAGACCTCTAGAATATCGTATCGTATCGTACCTGCCCGCCCGGTGAGGGCTACTAGTATCTTTCTTTCCTATTAGCCGAAGCGAACCTCAGAGGAGCCCGCGGTAGATGGGCCATCCCGACGGAGTGCCCGGGGAATACGTAACGCGCTATAGGATGTAGTAGGTATTATACAGATAATGCCCATCGACACGCCGTGTTCATACGGTAGATGTGGGAAAAGATAACGTTATGAACGTTACCTATGCCTCAAACCGCGAGAGTAGGTGAGATTCCGATCTGATCTGATCTGGCGGGCGTCTCCCGAACGAAAACCCGATTCCAAAACCCGATTGGTTCAGCAAAGTCACTCCACACACGGTACACAGAGAGCACGATATCATCATCACGCGAGCGATGAAGATGGTCGTGTGAGTGAGTGAGTGAGTGAGTGAGTGAGTGAGTGAGTGAGTGAGTGAGTGAGTGAGTGTGGCCGGCTGGGCTTCCGTACGATAGAATTCTTTTTGACTGGCATTATTATTAGTGTGGTAGTGGCTCAATCCAAACGATTCGATTTTCACCGCGTGCGTGCTAGATGATCGGAGTTCCGCGGCAAGCAAAGACGTTGGTGGCCTGAGATGAGAGGATTGTGATGACGAGCCTGCCAATGCAAGTTCTGATACTCCTATGAATCGAGGTTATTTGGTCCCCAGCGCAGGCTCCTATGTGCAGATTATCTAGAGGTCTCGACCGAAACCCACGCGACCAACGCTTTCAATCCCGAAGAAGAGATCCGACGCGTACAGAGCATCACATCAGCAGATACACGGAGGGACTAGGCTTCCCACGTCCTCTCGGAGCCACTTCAACCTCCGCTTCAATTCCGCAAGAGAGTGGTAGAACGAAATCTCGCTCAGATCTAGGCTGGGGACATGCCCCGCCGCCGCACGATCCCTCTGAAGAGCTTCCATGGAGGTTTCGTCGGACAACGCTGCGCTAGAAGCAGTGGGGGTTTCGATTGCGTCCATCGGGATGCCAAATTCGGTGTAGACATCTCGGTACCGGATGCGTTGCCGCACGACGGCGTCAAACTTCTTCTCCATGGATTCGGCGAAAGCGGTCAAGTGGGAGAGCTCGTCGTGGACAGCACCGACCTGGGTGCTGTCGACACTCGTGTTTGTGTTTGAAGAGCCTGATGAGCTAGGAGAGCGGCTCGTGAATTGCTGTGGCTCGGACCTGGGTATTGCCATGGGGTCGAAGGCGGGCATTTGTGCGTCTAGAAAGTTGAGAGGTGCGACGAAAGAGGGGGCCATTGGGACCTGAGATGGTATGCCCCCGACTGGCTGTGTCAAAAGGCCATTTGCCAAGCTCGGCGCGCTCCAAAAGCAGTCGGCTGATAAATGCTCGATGGGATACGTTGGGTGTGGCGGAAAAGACCACATGTCCATGTTCTCGCTGCTCTCAGAGCCGTGTATGGAAAAGGCCCGTGGAGGTGAGAGTGATGATGAAGCCGATGGCGTGGAGCCTATGGAGTCTGGCGATGAAGTGATTGAGCGGTCAGTCATCGAAGGGTCTGGGTTGCTGCTCGCATGTTTGCGACCTTGTCGCCGAGAAAAGCTGTACAAGCAATGAAGTCCTTTGGCCGAACATCTCGAGCAGCTCGGTTTGTCCTTGTTGCACCGGACTTTCGAAGTGGAGCACCAGTCGCAGGAGTCTCTCAGGCGTGGCTGTCGTTTCTGTATTTGAGGCATGCTGGTGATATTGGTGTAGGATAGTATGTTCCTGGCAAATCGAGCTGGCTGAACTAGTCCACGTCAAAGTGGTCAAGGATGAGTCTCTCAATCAAATTGGTGCGGAGACATCGAGTTCTACCGTCAAAGACGATCAAAGCCAGCGGATGGAGACAAAGTGCGTGGGATATCCTTGAACATATCTCAATGGCATCAGAAGCGACATCATCAGGATGCATGGCCGATCGCGCAGCAGATGGCACCGCAAGCCCGTCGGGGTCTTTCGCAGGTGCTCAGTATAGAAGCAGACGCATCCTTCTGCATGCCATGAAATCCTTTGAAAGGCTACATTGTGAAATGTAAGTTCGGAGGATTCGCAGACAACGGATTTTCGCCGTGGTTGCGGGTTGAAGATCTGCGTTGCCGGAGCAAAATCGCACCTTTCAGCCCTCAGCTGGAGGGATCATCGCAAGCTCCGTCGTCTCGTTTCCCCTTGTTTTTCTTCGTTTGTTCAGCCGAAAGGAAAGTCGGCACTTCAAGTAAAGTCATCTCTATTCTGCGAATGCAATCAAGTTCGCGAATGTGCTGCTGGAGTGCAGCAAAGGACAAGCAGAGAAAAGGCATTGTCCGCCCGCGTTCAATTCCGTGCCAACACCCGCATCCCGCACCATTGCTCAGCTATGGATTAACGAGGTGCCGCGTGCGGGAAGCATGGCGCTGACTGTGCGGAACGCCCCATAGAGGCTTCGGTCTGATCTCTTGGGGAGAATGAATCGCACACGTGGCTATTGAACTTGTTGGAGCTCCTCGGTATCACATGTGGTTGGTCTGCTGCTGCTGCTGCTGCTGCAAGGAGAGTAGATCAGTGGGAGTAGTAGAGCTCCAACATCGCAACAGCCGGGAGGCTCGGGATATCGTGAAATTGTGGAATCGAATCCAATGCCCGCGCTTGTTGACGATGGTAGTCAAGAGTCTGTCTGCCTCCACGGCAACGGCGTATGTAATACGCACCGCTAGGCCTCTGCTTGTGAAGAACCAGGCCCTCAATCGAATGTTGTGTTCGGCGCCTTGGTAGGTCATCCTGCCCTGCCGCAGGTCGGCCCCATGTACTGGCAAGCACCGAGATGAATGGCAACAAGACCGCTCTCTGACACCCACGTATGCAGCCAACAACGTTCAGCAACGCTCTTTGATGTTGACTCTGCACAGATCGAAACCACTTGGTGGCGCAGATGGCCCTGTCGACATCGCTCTTCCAAATACGCTGTGCTGCCGACCGACAGACCACTCTTGCCGGCATGTACCAGTCAAAGACAACCACAGCGGCAAGGACGACGTTTTTTTTTTGCAGGTATAGCCGCGATCATCTTCACTGTTTGCGCGCTTCAAGTCGCGACTGTAGCTCCTCATAGGCTTGTCGACGAATCGCCACAGTCGCATCTCACCTCCCGAGACTGGTCAATTCCAGAGAGTTTCAACCTATCTTAGGCTTTGCGTCTTCCCCTTTCAACGTCCCAACTCGCCTGCGGCTGTCGCCACCTGACCCCTTCCCAAGGACTCTCTTGCCGTCTCCCGACCACACTCCGACTCCGCGACTTCCCATGCCACGCCAAATCCCCACTCCGCCGCACATCACCGCTGCGTCGCATACTCTTCGCCAAGCTCAGAGTGTGTTCGATCTTGATCGTCTGCAAGTGATGTTCAATCTCCGGATCATCCGTTCGGCGTTTCCACAGAAGCCATTTCTTGCGCAGGCGTCTCTTCGCTTCGTTCATGGCATAGCCTAGTTCGTCGACGGAGAGCGCAATGGCGATGCAGGGAATGGAGATGGCGAGTCCAATGCCAAAGATGTACTGCGAGACGTAGCCCAGAGACATCTGTTGCTGGCCTGTTCGTTCGTCGTGCGGAAACTGGTCCACGTTGATTGCGAAGAACGCCGCGATGAACGACAATGGCAGGAAGATTACAGTGACAATGGTAAACACCATAATCGTCTGCCCTTGCCTTTGTGTACCCGCTGCTTGGTCTCGGGCAAATCGCGCTTCGAATGCGTTGGCGTGTTTCTGCTTCAGATCCAGCAAGTCGCGGATGTTGGTATAAATGCGCTCGGCTTGTTTGTCCATCCTGTCAATATCCTTCAGAGGATTGCTGATGGTCTTCTCTTGCTCCTCGAAGCCTTTGTCAACCTTTCGCAGCTGCTCCAGCGAGCGGTGGCCAAGCGATCGATCATCTCGATAAGTGTCCTTGACCGCGTCTTTCAGGTCCGGCAGGATGTTCATCTGGTGATCAAGCACCATGCGAATGATGTCAAGCTCATCTCGAATATCCTTAATCTCAGCTAGGAGGTCGGTTTCTGCGCCAACATCCAGAAGTTGGTCGAGGAATTGTGGATCATGATCCTGTAGCTCGTCAAAGTGGAACTGGTCAGCTTTCTTAGCCGCGTGTTGATGCGCCTTTGAATCGGCTTCGAGATTTCTCGAGAATCGGTTTGGTCGTTGGTGTGTCCTAAGCCATTCTGAAGCTTGTTGCGATGCGACGGAGAACTCGCCGAACAACGACGCCTCTTTGTCCATAGCATCTCCAATCGACGCCTCGAACATGTCCATAAACGCAAACTCTTCGTCACCTTTCCTATGTCGATCGAATGTGCCCAGGCACCGACCTACGATGGTGCTCGCAAGCTGGTAGACATTCTGTACAGGCTCTCGCGTTTTCGAGTTGATGTCTTCAATGATACCTTCCAGCACATTCAGAGCATCGTTACGGGGTTGGCGCCATCTCTGAGGAAACGCAGTAACCACCAAATCTTTTCCGAGGACCCACATGAATAGTTGATCGACCATGAACACCTTTATCTCGTCATCTGGCCTTTTTCCATGATTCTTCTGGAAACGGTACACCACCTGGTCGGCATCGCGTACCTTCGTGTCGATGTTGTGATAAAAGTACTGATCAAGCGTTCGGCGGATTTGCAGGAACGAGCTCGATTTCTCCAAGTGCGCCCGTATCAGTACGAAATCAGCTTCGTGGTGAGTGAGCAGATGTGAATTCTCCAGCGCCAGATGCATCTCTCTACGACGCCTGTCTGTTTCAAAATGCAGGTAGGGCATGAAAAGGAAGACGTTGCGCGAAGCGTTGTATCTCCTCTGTGTTGCGTGCCTGTCTGGCTTGTCGACACTGCTGCCGGACTCCTTGCGTTGCTTCTGTTTCCCTGGCGACTTGGAAGGCTTATTGGCTTTGTTGGGTCTCGAGTTCTGCTTTGGAGTCACAGACGTCTCAGATGTCGCGATCGTTGAAGCGGTCTCCTGCCGTTGCACTTGAGGCTGCGAGGATTTCGAGGTTTGCTTGGCTGCTCTGGTGCCCGAAGACTCCGCAGTTGTCGTGTCCTGTCTCCCAGTGCCCTTGCTGGATTTGGGTCTCTGTTTTGTGCCACTCGTAGGTTCCGCGCCTGCAGTCGCTTGTATCTCGCCGTTGGCCTTACCAGCATCATGCAGCTTCGCTGCGGTTGGGCTCTCCAGTATATCTTCCGGAACAGCTGTGAGAAGGTGAGCATCTTGCAGCATAATCGCAGGAGGCCCCGCTTTGTCTATGGGCGGTATCAGATCGACTTCTTCTAAGGCGCGATGAATCACTTGACATTGGGGCCGCATGAACTGTGAGTGCTGTTGCTGCCCGCGATGTTGATGGGTGAACGACATCTCCAAGGCTTTGTAGCCCTCGACGTCTGTGGCGCCTTCTTCAATAAAGCGTTTCGTGAGTAGAGCATCGCACCAGGCTATATTATTAGCCGGTAGGTGGATCCATCGAAATTCCGAGCCCTTGACATTCTTTGCCAGCGTGCTAACCGCATGCCTGGTCGGGTCCCGTGCTTCTCTAGCATAGAGCACTTCGTAGACTGACCGTCTTGTTACTCTGTTCTCGTTCTTGAAGTTCCCGAAATCGACAATCGTGGCATTGAACTGCTGTGAGGCTGCTTTCTCATCGGTCGAGAGATCATTGAGATGGTTCCAGGGAGCAAGCTTTTCCACAATCTCCTTATTTCCATGTTGAGCCGCTATCAATAGTGGGGTGTTGCCAAATCTGTCCTTGGAATTTCTCCTGCATCGGGGATGTCTGAGCAGACACTCGGTCACCTCTCGATGCCCAGACTCAGCAGCAACGTGTAATGGGGTTCTCCCGTTCAGCAACTCGCAGTTCACGTCAGCCCCCGCATCGAGCAGTGTTTGGACAAGACTAGCAGAGGCTTGAGTACAAGCATTGTGCAATGGGGTCCAGCCCCCATCAGATCTTGCATGAATATCAGCCTCATGGGCTATGAGGATACGGGCCAGGTGTCCTCGGCCATGAGACGCCGCTAGATGCAGAGGCGTCTTATCGCGATTGTCCGTGGCGTTGACGGTGGCCTTAGGAGAGGCACCTCCAAATCGGGTTCTAAGCAGCAACTTCATGAGGTCTTCATGATCTGTCACGCATGTCCAATGGAGTGGAGTTCTGCCGACGTGGTCTTCCGCTTCAACGTTCACACCTGCTTGTAGGAGGTACTGTACAATGTCCATGCCACATTTTCGCTTGGGCGCTTCTCCGGGTCTAGTCGCTCTCTCGTCGCCTTTGTCGGCTGCTATGTTGTGCAGCACATTGCGTCTACGCAGATCCACAGAATCGACATGCGCTCCTTCCTCGAGCAAAAGCTCCACGACCTGCTTGTGACCTTTGTAAGCGGCGGTCATGAGAGCAGTGCGACCTTTCTTGTCGCGAGCTTCCAAATCGGCTGCATATTCGATGAGCACCTGCGCTATTCGCAAAGATCCATATTCAGCGGCGCGAAGCAAGCTCGCCGGCTTGTTGCCAGACGCGTAGTCGGGGCTGGCGCCATGAGAGAGCAGGAAACGAGCAACATCTGGCAGGCTCTTGTCGCACGCCCTCACCAGCCCGATGGACAGGAAGGATTCGCTGCATTGGCCTCTGGCCTGTGCTTGCTCCAGTATGTCTTTGACATCCGGAATGCTGTCGGCCTCAACGGCGCGCAAGAGTTTCGGCTCGAGTCTGTCATTGTTGCTGTTGCCGCTTTGGAGGCTGGGAGGTCTCTTTGGCATTCCGACGACCCTGGCAGCAGCAGTCGAGGTCTCCACTGACGATTCTCTGACTGCGGTCACGGTAGGATCCCTGTCTTTGGAGATGTCGGCATGGCCGCTCCTTCGCCTGCTCGTTTCGCCTCAGCGTTGGCCGGGATTTGAGGTCGAGAAGTGGTACGAGCCGTCAGATTCGCATCTACCATCTGCTACGTTCTGGGAACTGACAGTTCGTAATTCGTATGCGCATGCTGTGAGGAGCGAGAAGCGAGGAGCGTGCGTTCAGCTGCCTCCCGGTTTTCAACCTCCCTCTCTCAGCTGTGCGACTGCAAACGGTTAGAGTTTGGTCGTACATTGCGTCTCTCCACGCGCATCGTGCGCGTTATGTGCTCTATTCTCGAGTCTTAAAGTCTTAATAGTTACTAGTTACTAGTAGATCAGTAGTAGACTGTAGAGGTGTTGTACGAACGAGGCTACGATGGAAACGCGTTTGGGTGTTCGAAACCGTGAGAGGGAAGTGTCTGTCCAAATCGAGACTAGCTTCTTTCGGCTCCGGCTCCCGGCAAGCAAACCTCACCTTTCCCTTCCGAGCATAGCGAGTTCTCCCCGCTCTGCTCCAGCGCGTCTGTCTCGAGCGCGTCGACATTGGATTCTTCTCGCTGTGCACAACAAATTCGCGTCTCGGATTCAGATGGCATCCGGTCATCCTCCTCCCCTTTCCAATCTGGAGTATGATACCCAGTGCAAGCGCTGCCTAGACGGCGCCGTTCTGGGCAGAGCAGGCTCTCCATCATTTGATTCGCCCACTCGTTCGCGACCAGCCAGACGCTGGAGGGAGGCGCTTCTCGGGAATCCGCGATCCGCCGTGACGCAATCTCCCAGTATTCTGAGAACCTCGCATAATAAGACGGTAGGACTCTCCTGACCTTTAATAAAAAAAAAAAAAAAGGAATTTCGCAAAAGTCGAACATCTTGACCGGACCTATTGTCGTGGCATTGGGATTGCAATGGCTGCCTCCGCGGTGAGAGCCTTGGCGGGCTTGTGGGCATTGTACCAGGGCTTCAGACTCGCCGCGTTCATTCAGAGCCATTTCTTCCACAAGAGCACGCTCGATCGATTGCAGACACCTGGAGCACAGGGTGGAGAAGACGACTCCGCGTGGGCCTTGGTGTACGTGCGCACGAGACCACCAGAACCTTTCGCGCGCCAAAAGCGCTAACCAACAGCCCTCTTATAGCACAGGAGCTACAGACGGAATCGGCAAGGGCTTCGCCGAAGAACTCTGCGCACGAGGCTTCAACGTCATCATCCACGGTCGAAACGAAACCAAACTGGAAAAGGTGAAATCCTCTCTCCAGACCCGCTGGCCGAAATGCCAAATCCGCACGCTGCGAATGGACGCCAGCCGCGAAGCGGGCGATGCGGACGCCATGGCCCGCACGGCATGTGCTCTCCAGCCTCTGAACCTCAGAATCCTCATCAACAACGTCGGCGGCTCCAGCGGCAGCATCTCCTTCATGCCCCTCCAGGACCGAACTCCAGAGCAGATCCGATCGGTGCTGGAGGTCAACGTACGCTTCCCCACCGAGATCACCCGGGCACTCCTGCCCCAGCTCCAACGCAACGGCTCCGCTTTGATCATGAACATCGGCAGCGCGACGAGCGAGTTGAGTCTTCCGTATTTGAGCATCTATTCCGGGTGCAAGGGTTACAATCAATGCTGGTCGCGATGCCTCGAAGCGGAGATGCGAGCGGAGAATCACGATGTCGAGGTGCTGTGTATTCTGGTGGCGGCGGTGGCAACAGAGCTGAGCCCGAGACCGCTATCGTTGTTCGTCCCTAATGCCAGGCAGATGGCGGGGTACGCCTTGGGGAAAGTAGGGTGTGGCCGCGGCGAGATCTTCGGTTATTGGGGCCACCATTTGCAAGTCATGATGTTCCGGGCCATGCCGTCCTTCATGGCGCGGAAAGCGGTCGTAGATGTGGGGAAGAAGGAGAAACTTGAAGACGAGAAGCGGACGGCAAGTAGATGACAAAGATCTGTCTTGATCGCCAACTTGTAGTAGCTACAGTAAAGTGTACAAAGCCGTCATAAATACTAGCATACCAAGTACTGCGATGCCCGACCACCCTTGGATGAACGTTCGAGGCTGCGCATTCCTTAGTAATCTTTCTCGCTCCCTCTCTTTCTCGACTGCGATCTTCTCTGTCTCTCCTGCGAAGCACCCTTTAAACCGGCGCCCGTCGACGTCCGTCTATGCTTGAATCTTCCCTGTCGATTCTCCGTCGGTATGTTCACATTGTCCGGAAGCTCGTTACCAAGCATCGTGAACTGATTCGGCTCCAGCCGCAAACGCCTAGTTTCGATCGGAGACAAGCCTTTCTGAATCCGTTTCCTCGCCCATGGAAAGATGGCAGTGAAAGCAGCTGAGACCACAAATACGGGAATCGCGATGTAAAGATACCAAATTGGGGGCCAGGTGACAGTTGTGATACCGAACAGCGATGCCAGGAAAGAGACAGGGAGGAACAAAGTTGCGACTGCGGAAAGAAAGGCCGAGTTTTCCGTCTGATCTGCGTTGGTGATGTTGAATTCTAATTCGATGAGATTATTGAATCCTGAGAAGGTCAGTCTCCGCTTGTCGATGTGGGCTTGCTGTTACTCACGCTCTTTGAGGCCGTCAAGTGTAGAGTCAAACTGCTCCAGATCTTCGACGGCATCATCAATGTCATTCCACAACGGATCCTGCTGCTCGTTCTTGGGGACGTCATCTTTCAGCTTCTGGAGCTTCTTGAATGCCCTGGTATGGAAGTGGAGATAGTCCTTTAGCTCATATATCCTGTCGACCTCCACATGCATCCGTCGGGTTCTGCTTTTCACTGGGAGATGACGGCCATGGCTGTTGGCTTCTGATTCATCGAGTCGGGCCAATACCTCGCCGAAGATGTTTTGCCAGTCGGTCAGCAGCCAATGGAGCCTGAGGAATGTCCAGCAGATGCCCTCTTCATCCTCGCGCGGCTGATCAAAGTCTTGATCGCGCCATAGGTAGTCAAACATACGCTCCGTCACGACGTGCTCAGAGACCGCAGTCGCTCTGGTGAAGATGATTGTCACGGAAATCTGGGGGTCGAAACGGCAAGCACCACGGGCGCAAAACCATACTCCAGTCCGAAAGCGAAAGTCTTTCATGTCAGGCAGTCCGTTGTCTTCCCATGTCGGAGGTTCCAGGTCCACGGACCAGTAATAGACTTGCGGCACGTTCATATGGCTTGAGAAGGGTCAACAAGAGGCAGCTCTCGACGAGAAATGTAGACATACTCGATGACAAAAGTCCACGGCACATGCTTCCCACGCTTGCTGGCCTTTTCCGGAAATTGCATCGCGTTGCCAAATTGCACCGAGCGATCCAGGTCGGAAATATCGGACCAGTAGTCCTCAATGCAGGAATGAAGGACGTCGCCGAGCCAAGGCTCAAAGCCATTGACGGCAATGACGAGAGGATCTCTTGGATGAGCGCGAGTCTGTTCGTCCACGAGTCTTGCGAATCTTGGCGCGTCTCGGGGGCCATACGCTTCGACTTCATGGTATTTGGTGGCGCTACGCCTGCTCCCGACACGGATGGCAATTGGATGTGGGCCGTTCCCGGGATCATAGGTGGGTCGACGACGATGCTGGCGTTTGTGTGAGGCCGACATGTCTTCTTGGCGTTACTGAGAGGTCGTCGAGGCTGGGAGCGCGATGGAGCAAGTATCTGTCATCCGATCTAAGGTACATGTATCTCAGGAAGACGAGGACGTGACGAGGCGGGTAGGTGCTGCCTGAAGCTCCAGTCGTGAGTTCCTTCTGCTGATACCCCCCAATGTGCCTTCCCCACTATGTAGATGTCACGCAGGACGCAGTTCAATTGCGGCCGCCGTCGCGTCGCCGTCGCGTGTCGGGTTTGGTAAATATCAGAAAGTCATGACGATAAAGGCAGATCGGTAGACCGCAACGAGCCCAAAGTCCTACCCTCCGTAAGGTTGTCAGCTGGAGGACACATCTGATCCTTGGCGCCGTTCTGGCCGCAGCGGTCGAATCCGGCCGAGAGGGGATTGACTCATGGAGCACATGATGCGAACTTCTCGATGCAACATATGCATCCGCATGCCCGTTTCTCACCAGAAAGTGGGGAGGGAGATGAGGCAAGAGATGAAGGAGATGAAGTCTCCCGAAATGCCAAGCACAAAGAACGACTTGGCTACATGTACATGTATAGATCCCCGGCACTCAGCACGTGACACGATCGCGCGCTCGTGCCCGGTGCCCCACAGGCCACAGCACATTTCCGTTCTTTCTCCAGAATCTAGATCGCGCTAGTCCAGATTGGTAAAACTTGCTCAAAAGTCTCGGGGACGACAGGGAAGCAGCCAGTCGCGGGCGTGGCAAAGGGTATGAATAGTAGCAGAACCGCCTCTCGGGCCTCTCGGGTCTCGACGATGACGAGAAGGACGCGGCGCAACGGTAGGCGGTCCATTCGCTTTTCCTCTCCTTCCACTCACCCCTACAACCCGACTTCACGAAAGACATCGACGCACTGAGAGAGAGAGAGAGAGAGACGAGGAAGAGAAGACGAAATTCGCCGAGGCGAGAGGATACCAATCGCCGGGGGGAGTAGCGCAAGAAGCACACATTCGCGACCGCAATCCCTCAACATGGACATGTCCAGCAGCTCCAGCATGATGAGCAGCATGTCCATGGTCTTCACCACAGACCACTCCACCCCGCTGTACTCCTCCGCCTGGACACCGAGCACCACCGGCGCCTACGCCGGAACCTGCATCTTCCTCATCCTCCTCGCCGTCGTCTCCCGCATCCTGCTGGCATACCGTGGGCTTCTGGAACGGAAGTGGCACGACACAGCCGTCAAGCGTCGGTATATCGTCGTCGCGGGAGAGAGCGCGGCGGAGAGACAAGAGGCACTTTCGGGGCAAGATAAGAGCGAGACAGCGGTCTTGACCACGAGGGGAATGGATGAGAATGTCAGAGTGGTGACAAATGGGGGTACGAGGCCACGGGAGACGGTGCCCTGGAGATTTTCTACGGATTTGCCTAGGGCTTGTATTTTCACCGTTCAGGCTGGTGTCGGCTACCTGCTGTGAGTCCGCCCTTTTCCTTGTATTTCCGTCACCGAAACTGTTCGCTAACCCACCTATTCTTCAGGATGTTGGCTGTCATGACGCTCAATGTGGGATACTTCCTCTCCGTTCTGGCCGGGTTGTTTGTCGGCGAGCTTGCACTCGGTCGCTTTACCATCATCGATGATGGGCACCATTAGCACGGACTTTTGAGTAGTTGTATTGCTTATATCTTGTGATCAGAAAGCGCCAGAAAAGCTCCGATACACCAAGACCTACCTACCTACCCTGACGAGTGCCAACGTGTATGAAAAGTGCTCAAATGATATGCGAACGACACTTAAGAATTTCCTATTAAACCCACTATCAAGTTCAACAAACATACACATCTCGTGCACTACGACAAGTACAGCTCAAAAACGCCCAAGATCCTTCCATCAGATCGCGTCACTCTTTCAAGGTGCCTCCCACCTATTTCACAAGTCCCTCGAGCCCCTGGTCCTGGCCGCGGCACTTGGTCTTTTGGTAACAGTAGCGGTAATCGTCGTAGTGCGTGGTCGACAGACCGACACCGTAACGACATTCACACCACCAGACGTCGCCGGACTCGTGTCGGAAGATTCGCCTCCCGAAGCACCATTTTCGACAACCTTCTGCAGCGAAGTCGCTCCGGGAACATTGCTCGTGCCGGTGATGACCGAGAAGTATTCACACGTACCGCCCGGAAGGACCGTGATTCCCCGACAAGCCTCCTCTAGATCGCACACATCCAGACACGAAGCGGCGGGGAGCGCGACGTTGTCCTGCCGTTTAGCGGAGGAGGTGAAGCGCGTACCGACGAGAGATGAGTCGCACTGCACGGCGTAGGAACCGCCGGACGAATCGGTGTAGTTCTGCCCGTCGTAGGTAGGGCAGAGAGGGACGGTGGCCGCCGAGGTGGGAGCCGTGGCAGTGTTGGAGCCGTAATTGCCAGGAGGACCGGACATGGAGGCTGGTACAGAGGACGATCCGGGTGGGTACACGGGCGGAGCAGAAGACGCTATTGGTTGAGTCGGAACGGAGGAAGAGCCGCCTGGGTACATCGGGGCAGAGGATGTGCCAGCGCTTGACGAGCCTGCTGGATAGACGTTTACCGAGGAGCCCCCTGGAGAGACTGGCATTGAGGAGCCTCCTGGATAGACCGGCACTGAAGAGCTTTCGGGATAGACGGGCGCTGAAGAGCTTCCTGGATAGAACGGCACTGAAGAGCTTCCTGGATACATTGGCGCCGAAGAACTTCCTGGATAGACTGGAGACGAAGACCCTGAGGAGATAGGCGCCGGCGAGCTTCCAGGATAGACAGGAGCCGACGACGAGCCAATGGATGAAGGCACGGGCGTGACCGTGACAACCATTGGTCCCGAAGAGATAGGTGAGCTTTGGCCTGGCGGATACGCCGGAGCAGACGAAGAGGCTGGAGGTGGGTATGGAGAATACGTGTTCGGAGCGGTAGAAACAATGTAGACGGTGTCTTGGCCAGGTGCGTACGACGACGCCATAACCGCGGACGTGCTCCAGGTAGTCGTAGTCGTCGTGTAGGTAGCGAAAATCTCAGGCGGTGGATTTGGAACTGCCTCTCCAGTGATGGCCCCAGGCACATACGAATAGCCAGTGACTTGGCTGAACAGTGTGCAACTCCCATCAATATAATTGAAGTTGGTGCAATTGTTCGCCGGAATAGCGCAAGTTGCGGCGCAGTAAGTGTAATCCGGTGCAGCAAATCTCAAAGGCAGACTGGGCATGCCTCTCTTTGCTTGCCCTGTACTGGCCGCGCTGTTCGCACTGCTCGTGCTGTTCGTGCTGTTTGGATAAGTGACCTGGTCATCTGGAACCGTAGTACCAGTATACGCGACTCCACAATTCATAGAGTAGGCCTGAGAATTGTCGCCCGACGAACAGACGGAATCTCCCAATCCAGCCTGGCCGTCATCGCCACAGACTTGCGACGAATCGGTTGGACAGCTTGGTGCCGGAGGATAGGACGTTGTCGCTGTCTCTGTTGCGGTGGTCGTGGCGCGTGTGATGCTGAATACAACCGTCGAAGCTGGGTAAGTGTAGGGAATAGATGATCGCGAGGTCGTGGCTGCGGGAGAGGACGCAATGACAGAGGTAGATGCGGAGCCCGGAGCCGATGAGCTAGCTGGGAGAGACGAAGTCGGGATAGGGCCCGCCGAACTGCTGGAGTAGGCTGAAGCTGCGGAGGACACCGAGGCAGCAGAGCTCAAGACGCTCGACACAGAGGAAGCAACACTTGACACGCTGCTTGCTGGACCAACAGAGGCAATGCTGGAGACGGCGCTGGACGCCAACGAGGAGGCCATCGAGGAAATCATCGAAGGGGGCATCGAGGAAGCCATTGATGAAGCCATTGAGGAAGCCATTGAGGAAGCCATTGAGGAAGCCAGTGAGGGAGCCATTGAGGCTGTCGACGACATACTCAATGCCATACTGCTTGCGACGGAAGAAGGTACTGCAGGCATCGATCCTGGCATACTGACGCTCGAGCTGTAGGCTAGTGGAGCCGAAGAAGACGAAGAGGAAGCCAGAGAGCCGATACTCCAAAACACGACGCTGGAATCTGGCTGAATAGAAGACGTTGCAGGCGGGGCCACCGCCGCACTGCTCATAGCCACAGAGCTCGACATGCTGCTTGCAGCCGGGCTCATGTAAGAAGTTGGAGTCACCACTACACCGGTAACACGGATAGCAGCGTTCACAGATGTGCTGGAAAGTACACCTCCGTAGGTGTTGGCGCCCTTGAGATAGCAGTTGCCGGAGCCAGTGCCGGATGGATAGCCTCCGTCGAATGACACACCACCGCATCCCGCAGTGTTGTCACAATACTCGAGGCAAGTCTCGAAGTCGGCTGCTGTGACAATCTGGCTGGCGGGGCCCTGATAGTCGCTGTTACAGTACATCTGATATTGCTGTCCATTGTTGTCGGTGTAGACTGTGTTGTCGAAGTATGGACAGCTCGAGGCCGTGGCAGTTGGCAGGGACAGCGTAGAGCTGGACGATGAGACTACCACACTCGAAGACGCGACGGCGGAAGAAGCTGTGCCAGATGAGGACGATGGCGGCAACAAGCTGGAAACAGTCTGTCCAGGGGTCGTGACCGACGTCGAGAAAATGGCTGATACAGAGGCCACCAGGCTTGACGATGAGCTGGCACTGCTGATGTAGGAGACCGGGCTCACGACGGCGCCAGCAACGCGTACTGCAGCATTGGCGGATGTGCTTGATGCAACGGTCCAGCCCGACTGCTTGATATAGCAGTTGCCCTCGCCATTGCCCGCTGGATATCCTCCATCAAACGTTACCGCGGCGCATCCAAGACTGTTGTCGCAGGATTCCATGCACTGTTCGAAGTTTGCAGCCCGAATGACAGTCGCAGGACCGCCATAGTTACCTCCACACGTGATCTGGTATTGCTGGCCGTTGTAGTCCGTGTAAATAGTGCCGTCGATGTAAGGACAGACCGAGGCCGTGGCAGTCGGCAGAGACGCAGTGGATGAGAAAGAAGAGCTTGTCGACATGGTGCTTGAGGCAGCCGACGATCCCGAATTGACGGTGGATGAAGGCGAGGCCAACAAGGTACTCAGACCCAAGAGCGGGTTCGTAGTCGTGATGGAGGCGAAGCCGCTGGAGCTGGAGCTGGAGCCGGAGCTGAAGCTTAAGCCGGAGCTGGAGCTAGAGCTTGTGGTCGTTGTTGCGGTTGTCGTTGTCGTGGTTGGCGAAGGAGGTGCGTTAGATATCAAGCTCAGCGTGGAGGTGGCGGTGCTACTGCTGGTACTGCTGCTGCTGCTGCTACTGCTCGAGACTGAAGAGCTTGGGGCTGTGCTGGAGCCTGAAGTTATCGATGTCGTAGAAGAGCTTACTGCCGAAGATCCTGGCGCGCTTGCACTCGATGTAGTGGATGAGGTAGAACCAGCAGAAGAGCTCAAACTTGAAGAAGTCGAGGAGGTCACAGTACCAGTACTTGAACTTGAGGTAGATGAGCTTGCCACTGGATCGCACAGTCCGAAACCTATCTGACATCCAGCACCACAGTAGCCAGGTCCAGAACCACAGTATCCGTACTGGCTGCAACAATTCCCAGCAGGAGCTCCGTAACAATTGAAGCCAGTGGATCCGCCGCAAACACCGCTTGGGCTCACGTTGGCTGTTGTGGATGACGGAATCAACAGAGTGGCAGTGCTTGCCGTTGCGGCGGAGGACGTGGTGGTTGAGCGCGAGGTCGAGCTGCTAGAGCTGCTGGAACTCGAAGAAGTGCTTGACGCCGCTGGACGAGGCATGTAGGAGGTCGGGTTGACGACGGCCCCTGCAACTCTCTGTGCAACGGAATTCGCGCCTGCAGAGACCGTGAAGCCCTGCGTTGAGCCTCGAGCTGGTACCTTAGGATAGCACTGACCTCCTCCGTTGGTACCTGAGAAAACAACCATTCCGCATCCTACTAGATTGTCGCAGGCCTCCATACACTCCTCAAAACTGTTGACTGGGCGACTTGCTCCTGGAATATCGGAGGCATTGGAGTCTGAATTGCACGAAACGTCGTACGGCATTCCGTTCAGATCGGTATATCGAGTGTTGTCTATGTATGGGCAGAAGGAAGCCGTTGCGGTTGGTGGAGCCGATGAAGTGCTCGATGATGAAAGGGAGCTCGACTTGGAGCTGGTGCTTGAGGTTGACAAAGTTGTGGATGACGAGGACGTGCCAGAGGACGTGCCAGAGGAAGTGCCGGTAGAAGTGCCAGAAGAAGTACCTGTGGATATCCCGGACGACGTGCCGGAAGAAGTGCCTAAGAAGGTATTAGAAGACGCTCCAGAAGAAGTGCTTGAAGATGTGCCTGAAGATGTGCCTGTAGACGTGCCTGAAAGCGTGCCTGTAGACGTGCCTGTAGACGTGCCTGTAGACGTGCCTGTAGACGTGCCTGACGTGCCTGTAGTCGTGCCTGTAGTCGTGCCTGTAGACGTGCCTGTAGTCGTGCCTGTAGTCGTGCCTGTAGACGTGCCCGAAGAGGTGCCTGTAGACGTGCCCGACGTGCCTGTAGACGTGCCTGTCGTGCCTGTAGACGTGCCTGAAGACGTGCCAGTGCTTGACGGCGTACTAGAGGACGTGCCCGTGCTTGATGTCGTGCCGGAGGACGTGCCAGTGCTTGATGTCGTGCCGGAGGACGTGCCAGTGCTGGAGGACGTGCCAGAGGGCGTGCCAGAGGACGTGCCAGTGCTTGATGGCGTGCTAGTACTTGACGGCGTGCTAGAGGTACCAGAGGATGTGCTAGAGGACGTGCTAGAGGACGTGCTAGAGGACGTGCTAGAGGACGTGCTAGAGGACGTGCTAGAGGACGTGCCAGTGCTTGACGGCGTGCTAGTACTTGACGGCGTGCTAGAGGTGCCAGAGGATGTGCTAGAGGACGTGCTAGAGGACGTACCAGTGCTTGACGACGTCCCGGAGGACGTGCCAGACGACGTACCAGTCGTCGAGGTGCCCGTCGTCAATGAGCTACTAGACGAAGTGCTGAACGTAGAACTCGTAGCCAGGCTGGATGTTGTGCTCGAACCTGTGCTGGATGTTAGTAGGCTGCTGGTGGAAGAACTGTAAGACGCAGATGAAGAAGAGGAACTCGTGCTCACAGCCCCGGTGAAGTTAGTCTGGTCGTAGAAGAATCGCATGATTGCCGGAGTAGCGTCCATGGGCGCGCCGGCCGATACTTGAGGGTAGTTGTGGGTCCATCCGATCAGGGTGTACTGAGTAATGATTCCCAGGTCATTTCCGCTGCCGAATTGGTACTTGATTATGTTTGTTCCAGGTATGGTGGTCACATTGCTGGAGGCGTACCCATTCCGCACTGCCCACCTCTGACTCCAATTGGGGATGCTCGGGATGATGCGGCATCCATTGCTGCAGTGAGTTGTTGAGCCAGTGTACGCAATCGTTTGATCATTTGTGCCATGGAACTCGATGAAAGGTATCTTGCGCGATGGCGAACAGACTGCCTCGACTGTGGTGCCAGTGTCGACGGTGTTTGGATCTCCAGTCGTCAAATTCGTATAGCTTGCAGCGCAACTTCCGGCGAACGCCGTGATTCTCTGGCTGAGCGTCGGATCACAGGCGATGACGTTGACGAAACCGCCTCCATTACTGTGCCCGACGGCCCAGATGCGGCCGGTATCAACACAGAATGCGCCCGTAAGATAGTCGATGAAAGAGTTGAGGAATTCGCGATCCCTGACGTCTGGGTAAATTGCGCCAACAGTCTGCCCATAGCCTGGGTTCGATTCATAGCCTTGATTAACACCCGGAGCTGATCCAACACCATTGACATAGACCATAATGCCATAGGGATTGTTGGACGCCACCGACATCTGCGTCTGGGACTCAATGGTCGCAGCAGTCGCCATGTTGCCATGGAAGCCGAATATTAGGGGAGAGGCGGCGTTAACGTCGTAATATTTGGGTATGTGGATGGTATAGTTGCGCCCACGGCTGTCTCCGGCGACGTACTTGAAGGGCCCAGCAGTGGATCCGCCTGGTGTTAAGCCGGCTGGTAGGGCCTGGCCGCATCCTGAGGAAGCATTCACGCTGCCAATTCGTGGAGGGACGGCGAAAGTCGGATTTGGTGGGATGTAGCGCACGATGGCGGCGAGACTACTGCCAGTATTGCCCAAACTGACATAATTTGTCTTCAGATAACAGATGTTGCCAGTCGTCCACGTCGCGGAGTCACAATTGGCAGTCGCATCGCAAGTCTGTATACAGGCCGATATCGTGTTCACGTTGTACACGGTTTGGAGGTTGTCCGCATTGGTGTCGTATCCGCAGGTGACGGTATAGTTGGAGCCACAAGCGCTTATGACGGTGACGTTGTTGCTAGTCACGCCAGAACAAGATGAAAGCGCCGGGGAAGGTGCAGCGCTAAAGCATGCCGAAGCGCTCGAGGAAGGGGAAGAAGCAGTCAACGTACCTGAAAGACTAGTGTTAGCAGAGCTAGAACTTGTACTCGTTCCACTCGTTCCTGATCCAGTAGTGCTCGTTCCAGTGGTTCCCGTTCTGCTCGTTCCCGTACTGCTGCCACTCGACGATGTGCTAGGGCTAGTTGACGTGCTGGTAGTGGGAGTAGTAGCCGTGGTGAGAGTAGTAGCCGTTGTGGGAGTGGTAGCCGTAGTAGGCGTAGTGGCTGTAGTAGGAGTGGTAGCCGTAGTAGGAGTAGTAGCCGTGGTGGGAGTGGTGGCTGTAGTAGGAGTAGTGGCTGTAGTAGGAGTAGTGGCTGTGGTAGGAGTAGTAGCCGTTGTGGGGGTAGTAGCCGTTGTGGGAGTAGTAGCCGTGGTTGGAGTGGTAGCCGTAGTAGGAGTAGTGGCTGTAGTAGGAGTAGTGGCTGTAGTAGGAGTTGTAGCCGTGGTGGCAGTTGTAGCCGTCGTCGGCCCAGTCGGCGTCACATAAGACGTCGCAGTCACCACAGCACCAGCCACTCTCCGAGCCAGCAGTCTTCCGGTATTAGAACTTCTTTGAGCGTCCGAAGTAGATGCCTTCAGGTAGCATGTGTTCTGATAGAAAACGGCGGAACCACAACCGACGGTGTTGTCACAGAACTCCAAGCACTGCTCCAAATTGCTGGCTTGCGGCGTACTTGCGCCTGCTGGGGTTGTAGCGCTGGCGCTGGAGTCCATGTCGCAAAGCATATCGTATGCGTTTCCATTGTTGTCGGTATAGCGGGTTCCATCGACAGCAGGGCAAGTGGTTGCCGTAGCGGCGGGAGGGGGGGTGGAGGACGTACTAGCAGTACTCGTGCTGGCAGTTACAGTTGCTCTGGCAACCAACACAGCGTAGTTGTAATTGGGGTCATAGTTTAGCGTCCCTGGAGCCACGGACCTGTACTATGACATGAGCGCCGTCAGCATCATCACTCCCTGCACCGTCGCTCAAGATTGACTCACGTAACATCGTCCGTTCTGTATCCCAACAGCGGCAGGACCAGGCTCATCAATCACTGTCGTGCTGCTGACACCGTTTGAGTACGAGTACGAGAACGAAGTACATCCACTTGTTGCAGCACACCCCGTCATGCAATCAGTCATGCTGTCTGCGTTCACTGTGTTCAGCACAGTCGAAGCGGAATTGGCATTGCAGGAGATCTGAACGCATCAGTATTTGCATTGCCGTACTGCATTGATGGGACAAGGCGCATATACCTGCCACTGATTCTGGCTGGAGTCCTTGAACGTAGTTCCGTTGTAGTAGGGGCACTGTTCACACGCCCAAATCAGCAATGAACATGATTCTTCCGTTGTAAGCAAGACTCACCGGTAACTGAGCACTCGCAGCTAGTCGTGTGGCAGCAGCGTAGTGAGGATATGTCGTCCCAACATTGCGCAAGTTTGTGTAAACATTCGGCGCGTCGGTCTGGTAATAATTAGTAGCAGTTGCGCTTGATGCCTTGTCTGTGCTGGATGTAAGCGACGATGCAGAAGAGGCGACACCAAAATGGCCTACAGTAGCAATATCCAGAGCCTGAAGGAGTGGCAGCGTTGGCGACTAAATAATGACAGTCAGTCTCCCAGCCAGACAGATACAACTGATCAGACCTCACCTGCTGACGCAATTCCGGCGAAATAGACTTGTGCGCAGTTGGGGTTCTTGTCGCAGCCTCTCAGGCAACTTCCCAGCCCTCCACCATTGGTTCCACCACCGAGGAAGTATCCCGAAGGGACCCAATCCTGTCCACACATGATTTGCCATGACGCCCCGTACGGATCGACGAGTGAGCCGTTGAGAGAGCCGGCAGGGGTCATGCCACTGGAGCAGACGGGGTTATAGACGTACGTAGCCGTCGCCGTCGGCGTCTGCGCAGTGACTGTACTGGCCAAAACCAATGCTGCACCTGCAAATCTGCAGATGCGAGGAGAGAGTCGCGCCATCTTCGAAGATAGCCGACCTCGACGAGCGTGCGGAAAGTTTCAGGACAATAAGATCCTCTCTCAGTAGAAACGAGCGTATGAGAAAGTATATGTTGTACGGAGCGAGAGTCTGCGGAGCAGAGAGAGAAGGAATGGCAGACGAAAGAGCCTCACCTGGTTTTGCCGTAACAATGCTCGCGCTGTCGTGGGCAGGATCAACAACACGACCTGCATTCCAGTCATTTTACCAGCGCGATCCCCTGGAATCATCCCTTTGGCCTAGACAACTTCCTCCCCATGGAACGCGGGAGCTGCCGTGGTATTTTGCGTATCACGTTCTGTGTGTTTGATTCGATCTTGTCCGCCGAACGGCATTCCGATGGCCAAAGGCTCGTGGCAACCGACCAGCGGCACGTTTGCGACATTGGACCGCCCATAGCCGCGATGTGTGGTGGAAAAGCAGAAGACACAGAAGACAAGGTGTGAAGTGAGGTTGCGCTGCTCTTGACACTCGGCGTCTCGGCCCGACCAAGACGCAATCAAATATTGATTGATCGAAAGGCCCCGCCAAATGATGAGTGGAGCAACAGCGTTCTTACCTCGGATACATCCAATGAGTACCTATGAACGAGGCATCAGAAACATACGAATTCACGAGTAGACTAAACTTCAGCTTCGAAGTCAACAAAAATGTCCACCGCTCCCATAGACACATCCAACGGCATTGCCTTGCTTTGCACCCTCCACCCAGCCTCACTAGAGAAACAAGAAAGAGTGGGAGACACTACAAGAACCACATGGAGTCAATACACTGACGAACTACTAGGTCCTCTCCCTTTTGCGCAAATCCGCTAGAGAATACTACCGCCTTCCCTCAGCAACATGTACAACCTGGTCCTACTTCACTCCGTTGCCCAAGGGCCTCGGAGTCGCGGGACTAGAGATATACACCGAGGTATCAGCACTGCAGAAGCAGGTTGATGATCCGGTACATTTCCAGAAGTATCACGAAATAGTAAAGAAGGTACAACAATCTCTGGAACATGATAGTGGACCGATTTGGCAGGCTTGCTGACTGCTATGTCGCCTGGAAAAGGAAGGGTTATATTCCAAAGACGAAGAATTGGTAGCATGGTACCTGACCGCCGGCTTCGTAGCAAGAGTAAATGCCGGTAATAACGGGGGAGGGAATTTGGTCTCCCTGACCAAGTTTATTGGGAAGAAGGAGGGCGTGTTGAAGGCTTTGGAGTAAGTCTCGAATGCCGACAGCAGACCTGAACGAATGTGCTGATCCGCGCCAGGTCCTTCTTGCCATTCGTGGAGAACAAGGAACCGTTCGTGTTGACTTACGCAATCTTCACAAGACCCAAAGCGCCCAAAGAAGTTCTGTTGTTCGTGAGATACAAAGACTCGAACGCAATGAAAAGCCATAGCAAGGCACCAGAGCACGTAGCTGTAGTGTGAGTTCGTCCATGTTTGGAGTTCAGAGAAGTTGCACTAACGCTGCGAGGGGGTAGCAAGGAGATCATGAAGCACGCCGAGAATGATATTGGCAAGTCGACGAGCGTGTGGCAAGAAGTAGAAGACAGCTTCGTCTCGAACCAGATCGGAGGACATCAGACAGCACCAAAACTTTGAGGAGGCAGGGAGGAACGGCATGCCGGTCCGGCGCGTTTGCGCTCCAATCCTTTACGTATTCTCGGTACATCGTCGCGCGTGTCGTTCATCGGAGATCCTGGCCTGGGCCATGCTTTTCGGCATCCCTTACCTCCTTGGGTCGCTCGCTCAACTGATCTTGGCATTGGAGAAGTCCATCTCGGGATGTTGGGCTTGGAATTTCTTCAGCATTTCCATCTTCTTCTGCTCATCGCTCGTCGGCTGTCCCGCCTCCTTCTGTCTCTGGTCGTACATCATCTTCTCCACCATGCTCCGTGTCTCCCCGTCCAGATCGGACAACTTGCTGTTCTCGGGTGTGATCTTGGACGTGTCGATCTTCGGTGCGGAGGTGACGACGTGAGCCCACCACTCCATCTTGTTGACTTTGTCGAGGTGGATGGAGAGCTCTTTACCAGAGGAAATGGACTCTAGTGTCCAGGTGGAATCGTCGACGGCGATAGAGTGTGGGAGAGTGCCCTGTCCCGCGCGCACATTAGAAAAGTAGGGATAATCTTGAAGAGGGCTTCTCACATCAATGATGGGCTCTTGGCCTTTAATGCCAGCCTTCACGCTTGTCTTGGTGATTTTCACATCGAGGTCTTTGCCTTTGATGTTGGCAGGAAAGACTGCGGTGATGTCGAGATCACCAATCGTCTGAGTCCATTTGTACGGCAGCTGAGCTTGCTCGGCCTCCTCCTTCGCTTTCGCTTCTTTGTCGAGCTTCGCGCGCTCTTCGGGCGTGGGAGATGCGGGACGTTCGTCGGCCATGTTTGCTGGTGTTGGATGGAAGATGTTTGATTGCAGGTGCGGAATCAAGTCCGCAGGTGGAGGAAAGTTTAATGCAGGCCTGTGACCGCCGAGACCTAAGGTACCTTACTTCCTGAACATCCACTAGAAATTTGTGCGCTCCTTCCAGAAGAAACTTCTCGGTGCTTCAGAAGGGTCGGGTCGGGTCTATTTCACGATCTCTACGTGTGATTTGCTCGGAGAACCAGAGCAAGCCGCGACCTTCTTCTTCTCACTTCCCGGACAAGCCGGATTGCAACGGCTCTATCAGCAGAGGCCCGGCAGCTTTAATCAGCTCGCATTACAGGACCAAACGAACGACATAATCCCAATCCCTCCAGAAGCAACTCTGAGTTTGCTATTCTCGATAAGACGCAGGCCGGCTCGCTAAACAAGCTCCGACTCGAGCCGTTCGAGGCCGGGCAGGGTAGGTGTGGAACGGCAAGCTCAGCAGCAATTGGCGCTCGGGTGTATGGGTATGATGGATGGGTATGATATCCTTCCAGAAGGCGAGAGCTTAAGGCAGCGAAGGTGATCCGGACCGTGGCCGATCACCCTGCAAGCACAGAGAGTGTGGAGCGAGCGAGGTGGGGTTTCTTCCAACTTGCCCTCACCATGAGCGGGGCAACGACGTAGGTACACAGTACTAGTATCTGGACCACACTAGGAATACCATGGGACAGCCATATTAAGTTCCTCCCGTCTCCGTCTCCGCCTCTGCCTCTCTTCATCTCCTGCTGTAAGAAACAACACGAAACAGAAAGTACCAAGACCAGACATTGAATCCAAAAACCACACCAAGTCGTACGTACGCCTCTCGTTCCTCCCCCAATCTCTGCTCCTACCTTCTACCACCCACCACTAACAGCTTCTTGTAGACTTCCAGAATGGCAACCACGACAGTCCTCTACCCGCAGGGAACGACCTTCAACAAGGAATACTACAAGTCCACCCACATGCCCCTCGTCGAGAAGAACTGGGCCAAATACGGCCTCAAGTCCTGGAAAGTAATCTACTTTCCGGATGATGCACCCTACAGCGTCCAAGCCACTCTCGAATGGGGCAGCGTGAAGGATTTCCAGGAAGCAGCAAGCAGCGAGGAGGCCAAGACGGTTTTGGGAGACGTGTCCAATTTCTCCAACAAGGACCCGGTTATTCTAACTGGCGACGTGCCGTTTGCTTCTTCTTGAGTGCGGTAGATGATGAGCAGTGAGAGGGTGGAAATGATGAGAAGATCATGATGGCGGAGATGGGTCCCGACAGTAGCAGTATAATCTGTCTCGCCGAATTCAAGACAGCCCAAATCAATGCCGGGAGTGGAATAGTAAATGACCTACATTATGGGCCGTTTTCCGCTGCCAATCGCACTGGCTCTGTACGTGTGTATTCCCACTGCCATTCCCATACATATCTACTGGATAAAAATCTCCACTGTTCGTCGTCATTTCAGGACGGGAACTCCTACCTCCCCACTCACGGTCTCCACGAGAGCTTCGAGCTTCGAGCTTCGAGATGCGGCTACGTAAGGTAGTTGAGAGTCTACGGTGCTCTTTCCTTTCCAGCTTGACGTGCTCGCGGCTTTCGCGTGCTCGGAACACATTGCAGACTTGATCGTTGGCATTGTGCGTGGGGAAGCGTGCAGTCGCATGTGATCTTCTTCCTCTTGCAATTTTAGGGCATGCCAGCCGGGTCTGCTGGAGGTTCTCCGGGTGTTGATTCGGCGGTGTTCGGGATTGGGGCTTCATATTAACAAACGTCCATGTCTGACATTGGCATGAGATGCTCCTCCCTTGTGAAGGCGGCAGGACCGATTGTCTTCACTCGTAACGCCTTTCGCAGACCGCTGGCGATGGGCGATGGGCGATAACGATGGGCAATGATGGAGACTGCATGCTTTCCAAGTGCGAAAAGCACTACTCGTAGCCGAGTATCGCGACAAGTGAAGGGAGTCGGGTTCTTTGTCAGCTCGGTTTCGCTGATAGGATGCCGTTGAGAGTTCGGTTTCATTTCCCACGTGACTTCGCGTCGAAGCCCCCACCGCGCGTTCCGTGCCGACCTTCCATTGTCACATCACTGCCATCTAATAACAATCTGGATACACGCAACAACACCACCTTAACCACCACCATGCCAGAGGCCATCGCAACCACGAAGCGCAAGTTCTACAAGGCGCTCGACGCCCTATCAGCTCCTCCTCCCCCTCCACCCAAAGAGACTCCCTCCACCCCCAGCAGCAAGCGCTCCTCCGCTGCCGCTTTCGACGAAGCCCGAGAACGCGTGCGGAAAAGACTCCGACAAAGCACCTCATCCGACTCTCTCGGCCTGAATAGATCCGTCATCTCACTACCACGCTCACCTCTCGCTAAGAAGCCTACCGCCGATGCACAGCCACCGCCCAATTATTCGCCCTGGTCTCACGAATCGTTCCTGGCGCGGCTCAAGACGTTTAGCAGCGTGAGCCAATGGCACCCAAAGCCGGATGCAATCAATGAGGTGGAGTGGGCAAAGCGAGGTTGGGTCTGTGTCGACGTCAACACGGTTGCATGCAAGGGTGGGTGCGGCAGACGAGTGGTGGTAAATTTGGACACTGCGAAGAGGTCGAGTGGTGACGAAGAAGAAGAAGAAGAAGAAGAAGAAGAAGAAGAAGAAGAAGAAGAAGAAGAAGAAGAAGAAGAAGAAGAAGAAGAAGAAGAAGAAGAGTGTGACAATGAAGACGAGACGGGCCTAGAGGAGGCCCTCACAGCGCGATACAAAACGGACATCGTGGAACGCCATACCGATTCATGTCTTTGGCGTAGTGGAGGCTGCAAGGACGACATATATCGGCTGCCAGTCGTCCGACCATCCATATGGCAGCCTGAACTCCGCAAACGCTGCCACTCACTGGAAGCGATCCACGACTCGATCAAAGACGTCGCCACAAAGCAACTCGACGCGTCAAGTGACCAACTGCTCGAAGATTTACCGCGAGACATCTTCAGCGGCCCGGAAGAATCGAGCCCGCCGTCGAGCAGAGCATTCAAAATCGCGATGCATGGCTGGCGGGGGTCAACTGAAGCGGGAAACGACCTTTTGTGTTGCGAGGCTTGCTTTCAACGCATCGGCCTTTGGATGTACCAACCTGGATACAGCCCATCGCGACCAGTCGGAACGGAAGGTGAGGACACTGCGGAAGCCTCTGCATCCATAGACCTCTTGGAGATGCATCGTGAACATTGTCCGTGGAGGAATCCCGGTACGCAGAAAGCAACCGGGAGCTTGAGCGGGTTGAACGCCGGCCAAATTCTACACAAGGTTGCGAGTACAGCTGCAAGGGATTTCAGGAGGAGGTCAGAACGTCAATCTTCTGTCGCGGAAGATCAGACGCAAGAGAATGATGATGTCGCTCAGTCCGCTGTCCCTGCTTCTCGAGATGAGATCGCTCGTCAAGACAAGGAGAGAGACTCCCGACTTCGAAAGCTCAAGAACCTGTTCAGTATCAAGCGACGGCCGACCATGAAGGCGCCGGCGCAGAAACCTGCTTGAGAGTGCCAGTCTTGAATTGCAACGCAAGCGTCGATATGTAAGGCATGAATGTAACGATATACTGATCGCAAAACTGTGTCATCCCAGACTATTGACCTTTCGTCACACCCGTCGTGAAGTTGACTGAGCACAAAAGAAAACCATTTGCACTGAGACGCCGGTGGAAGCGCATTCCGAAGCACAGGAATTGCAGCCTCACGCTGAGCTCGCAAGCTGGTATTGGAAATGGTCTCCGCCTTATCTAGCGCGTGCACTCTGGCTGTCTTGCCATGGCTCACGTTGGATCTGAATCCATTTAGAACGAAGCTCATGAGGCTGAAGCCGCGAGACAGGCGCAATGCAGCTGGACCATCTTCACATCTGAAGGAATCGCTTTCCACAGTTTTAACGCTGCACAGCCGACCGTGCCGTAGCTTTTGACGTGAATTCCTACGTGAGAGCATATTACCGAGAAGTGGTGGGCGTGCCACGCTCGCAGGGCTGTAAAAAGTGCATGAGAAAGATAAATCAGCTGTGATCTCACCAAAGCGGCGTGTCTGAATTGTCAACGACTGCATATTGAGTGTGTAAGGCAAGCCAGCCAGGTTTCGAACTAGACAATACCGATACTGCATTGAGACTTATGAAACTAGGAAATAGACCTTCGTTCCCGGCAACCCGAATCGAAAGTAAAGCGAAGGACTCGCCAGAGATGTATCCCAAGAATAAGCCTTAACCCGTACAGCCCTTGAAACCCAGTTAATTGGCGACTTTCTGGACCCGCTCTCTCCCTCGAGAAGAGCAAAGCATCAATTCCATTGATGGATTCAATGCAAGCGTCATGGCAGCACAGCATCCAGAGCATGCCTTCGCAAGTAGATCTCGCACAGTCAGCGTTGAAAGCCTGTGATTTCGTGGTCCTTGGCCGCATAGACAGCAATCACGACTCTATGCGTCACGCACAAAGGTTCTATGGACACTGTCATCGCCAGATCAACAAGGCTCTCCAAGATTAGGAGATGGCAAACAGTGACTTGCTGGAAGTGTACGAGACTTTACGACTTGAACATCGGGAATGGAGTACCTTCTACTCAAGGAACTGAATGGCGCAGTCGTATCGAAGGTAAACTTTTCCTAAGCGCGACGGCTAGGAGAGACCAACCTGTCTAAACTCAGGTATGTGCCGACTGGTCGAACTGCGAAGACCACAGATGGCAACAACAAGGAACGGTCATGAGACTCTCTCTCTCTCTCTCTCTCTCTCGACGTGCGTGTCACGGCGTCCAATCGCTGGCATTGCACAGAAGAAGGACAACCTCTCCAACGCAGCAGCGTGGGAGACCATCACGCGGCAACAACAACAACTGAAACCCATACGAAACGAACTCATCGACATCATGGCATCATTACCACAAATCCTGGAAGAGCAAGAGGCGCTCTACGCCGCCATCTCGCACCAAAAACATTCTCCATACCAGACCTGCTCGCCACTGGCACCCAACTCCTCAAATAAGTGCATCTCTACTGGCGAAACCCTCCGAAGAAACTGGCAACGAAAAAACTTCTGAACCTCCTACACAAGAAGCCCTCCAACATGAACGAACGGCACCTTATTATTAGAAGGAGAAGCCGCCGTCGCCTCTCTCTCTCTCTCTCTCTCTTAATCTCTACAGCCACAGACAGCATAACCCATGGCCTTTCCCCTTCTTTTACCTAGTAACCCACTACTGTGGACCATCTGCCCCTCACCCTCACCCTCATCCTCTCTAACAGCACAATACCCCTCCCTCCCTCCCTCCCTCCCTCCCTCCCTCTCTCTCTCTCTCCCTCTCTCCCTCTCTCCCTCTCTCATTCCATCTCTCTCCCTCTCCCTCCGATCCCACCGAATCGACAATATCCACCTCCCCAAACCCTCCTACGCTTCCCGCATCGCTAGCACACAGCACACAGCACACATCACACAACTTTCTTCTCCTCCTCCTCCTCCTCCTCCTCCTCCTCCTCCTCCTCCTCCTCCCTCCCCCTCCTCCTCCTCCTCCCCAACTCCAGCCTCCTCCTCTATCCAGGAAACTCAAAATTTCAAGAATTCAAGGTTTCTCCCTCCTCTTCCTTTTCCCTCTCGGCTCCAAATGCATTCCACACTACCCCGTGACAAGACAATAATAAAATCAAATCAACAACAACAACAGAGCGTCGTCGAGATGGCATGCATGCATGCAAACTAACTCATCACTTCTCGCGTCGAGGGAAAGGGACTGTTGTGAAGGACCCGAAGGAGAAGAAGAAGAAGAATAAGAAGACCGAAATCGCCACAAGGCTTCTTCGCGGAAGAAGATTCAACAAGCGCGACACAAAGACACACAACCCACACCGCGTATATCTAGGCATATAGAGACGAAAGAGAAGGGAGAGATGCAGGAACATGAGATTTCAAAAAAGCCCGCCATCATCATGTGTAGTAGAGGCAGAACATCCGTTTCAAAAAATTCCTTTGTCGTTCCGACTGTGACCAAGAAGGAAAAAAAGCCGTTCTACTCTATAATCGTCCCTGCCGACAGACAATTCCCTCAACAGAGCGCTTGAAGCTCCCAATCTCGCGCACAAGGAGACTTTCCCTTTCCCGTCATCATACAAATACAACGTTCAAATAGAGCAAAGGCGTCGAGACATCCCCCAAGACCAGCAGAGAGATGTGCGCAGAATCGAAGTGAACTTTCTTCCCAAACATCTCTCTCTTCCCTTCTCTTCTGGGCGTCGTGTGTTTCACCATCATGCCACCAAACGCTAGTGCAAGCCGCATTCCTTCTCTTGCCCGTATTATACAGAGAACCAAAAAGACACATGAGAAGTATGATGGATTGCCGTTAAAAGGTTGTTGGCGCGGGCCGGCCGGACAAGTGCAGTATGCAATCCTTGGGCTCCCGCACATCCAGAATGAAAACAAAAACGCCGTCGCCCTGGTCACTGGGGTGGGGGGTATATAAGACTTGTACGCAGAATGCCACCAAAAACAACTCAATTGTCGATAGCAATTTGCGCCGTGCATTGCATAAACATGCCTCTTAACGCCATTGCCAAATGATTTCGTCAGGTGTGGTGTTTTTATCGTATGGAATCTCGATCCATGCTCGAGGTTCTGCTTAGTGGTCCAGCTATGTCGCTGGTGTTGTCCTTCGGCCTTCTCTGACTGGGGTTTCTGCTGAAGATTCGCTGCTTCCAAGATCGTTCGGTCCGTATCGACTCGGGCCGTGGGGAGGCTGACGGCTCCATGATGCCATACGCGTTGTCTTGGTGCTGCAGAGGCACGGGCGCTCCCTTCCTTATCTTGACGAAGAGCTTGGCGTCGCGATACTGCTCGCCTTGCGGGTTGAAAAGGGGCAAATGTCGGTATCCTTGCTGCAGGCTGTTGAGTTTCGCGGTGAAGGTTGCAAGGAGCGTGGCGTTCGACGCGGACTTCTTGCCTTCCGGGGCATTCCACACAGTCCAGCGTACGAAGATGAGACTCGGGTATTTTGTCTCCACCGACATGGAAATGTTCTGATAGTACTGCGGGTCGAATCCATTGCCTTCGACGATGCGCGTTCGCTTGCGCAACGGCGACCCGATCCCGGAGGTACCGTTCTGTGCTGACGCGTCCGTACCACCTTCAGCAGTAGCGTTGCCGCGAGCTTTGTCTTCTGCAGAATACATTTCGAATTCAATGTATGGATTCATGCCGGCTTCCGCGTTTTGGTTACGAGGTCTTGGGAGACGTTGAGCGGACAGGATATCGACGCTGAATCTGACGACCTTTTTGCCCTTCTTCTCCTGTTTCTCCGGTGTTTCCGCGATGGTGTCTGCAATCGGGAGATGCTTGGCGTGCCGAAGCTCGTCGGGCTTGAGGACGTAGCCCAGTCGATCGGAGCCGGCAGCAAACATGGCTTCGTTGACCTGTTGATGGACGTCATACGTCTGCCAGTTGAGGGCGGCCATCTGCACCCCGCGGCGCCAGGACTGCAGAGGATTGAAGTTGGACGAGTCGATGCGTCTCGGGCCAGGATATACACGCATCAGAGACCTCATGTTGTGCGTTTCGAGAAGAGCCTTGTTATCAGTATTCTTGGTGCACAGCCTGTCGAAGGTGTTCTCTGCAAACGAGTATACGTGATTGTACGTCTTGGCATTGGGCGCTTGGAATCCATTGAACTTGATCCCTTGCGTGTAGACGCCGAGCTTGCCGAGCTCGTCAACGATTCGGCTGGTCTTGCTACGCTTCTTCATCTTGTCGGCAGAAGCTGCAACTTCGTCACTGTCATCCGCGGAACTGCTAGGCGTCATAGAAGGGCCAGAAGTGGTAGAGCCACGCGGTGTGAAGACTGCATTGTTCTCCGAAGGACTGGTTGCTACCGAACTTGCCGCGAGTGGTGAGGAAACGGCACTCTGGTTCTCCATGGAAGGAGTGCGATTAAAGGCATTCGTGATGCTCCTGGCACGGCTCCGTCCATCGACGCGACCGTTTGAAGCGTCCTGGAGCAGCTGGCTTGGATCAATGTCGTGAGCCGCCTTCACCTTGATTAGTATCCTATTCCTCAACTCCTCGGGAGACGGCAGAGAAGATGAGTTCGGCAGGAGAGGCTCGGTGACCATCATGGTACCAAAGTATTTCTTCATCAGCTCGACCATTGTCAATTGCTGTTCCGGATTGCAGTGAACTTCCAGAGAAACGATGAGCGGGTAAGGAGAACTGTTGAAGGCGTATTTCGCGACGACAGAAACGCAGTCCTCAAACGGGATTTTCGTAGTCATTGTTCTTCCATGCGTCACCATCGGTCGCCCATCGTCGCCGTCCCAGCAATCGATCTCGACACATCGGCATCCTTTTACCAGTGCAGCGATGTAGCCTTCCACGCTCGAGGCCCCCGCAACTTGTCGGCCGAGGAGGTACGTGTTGTGTGAGCTCGAGATGAAGTATTCATTCAAAGGCCGATCGAGTGTGGGTTCGCCTTTGAGCTGTGCGAGTGGCGCGCTGTGTGACGAGGTCATGAAGTTTTGAAAGGTCTGCAGATTCATGGTCCGTTGGGGAACGCTGCGGCCTGCGTCCGAAAGCATCGGCCGATTTTGCGAAGGGCGGGAGTATTTTTCGAAGACGCTCTCCCAGTAGGAACGGTCTTTCAGGACATCGACCGACTGCTCGTCCTTCAAGAATTTGAAAAATGTCTCCATGTCCATGTCGAGATCGGTGCCGAACTGCATGTTCCTGTAGATGTGCTGAAGATCTTTGCGCTCGCGGAATGACTGTACGAAGCTTCGGTATTGTTCGTAGTCCAGGGTAGCATCTTCATCGCTGCTGACAGCCTTGAAGTGCGTCCTTACAGCAGAGTCCGAACAATTAATCTCCAACTTGCGACACAGCCATCGCGCATCGGCCAAGGAGAATCGCTCTTCGGTGATCTGGCCCTTTCGCGCCATGACCTGCCGCCATGCCATCGCCATGCTTTTCTCGCTTTTCTCCGGCGAGGACGACAATGCGTTCATGATTTCGATACGCTCGCGGGTCACGGTATTGAGCGCGTCGGTCCAGAGGTTCAGGAGGTAGTCGTCAGGCATCAAGACATGCATGGTCTTGATCGCCCGTCCCTTGGAGCGCTCGGGGATATCATAGACAATCGTGACCCAACGACCTTCTTGCTCCTCGGGGATTTGCACATCGTCTCGAGCATTTCGGGAATCCGCACCGACTCGCACCTCACGTACGTCGTCGATGAAGAAAGACTTTGCCGGGTTGGAGGTGTGCCAGCATACCCTTGCTGAGTTGGAGTCGAGCCACAGCTTGATACGCTTGGAGCTTCTTTTGGTAAGTTTTGTGAGCCAGGTTCCGTTTTCCAGAACCACCGAGCTCGCAGGTGCAATGCCTCCCTCGAAAATGCTAGACGGGTTGCTGGAGTTCACGCTAGGTCGGCCGAGATTGATTCCGAGAGCATTGTTGCGATCCCGGAAGCCTGTAAACGAAGAGCTGTCTTCGATGACGTCCTCGGCCGTGCTGTCCAGATCGAGATCCGAAACATCTTGTCCGATATCAGAGGCACCGTTGCTGTCGCTCCGTCGACGCATGAGCGTGGGTCCAGCACTTGGATCCCGCATGCGGAGGGAATGCTGCGTCGACGCTCTACGTCGAAGCCTGCTCGACGCGCCTCGCGACAGTCTTCGTATCAAGCTGGGACTCCTTCCAATGCTCGGGCTCCGGGCGACCGACATTGCTTCCGCCATGGCGCTTGGCGGGCCAGCGCGCGCGTGTGGCGAGGGAGAGCGTTCGGAGAAGGTCCGTTCGGGCGCGGTGGCCCGCGGAATGGGAGAAGGTGATGCATACATGAAAGGAGAGAAGTTGCTGTCCGGCAGCGATTCCTGGGAGACGGATGGTGGCGCTCTTATGACATGCGTTGGAAAGGAACTGCTCCGGGCGGTGGCAGAAGGGGTCACGCCCGCAGCTGCGGCCGGCGTGACGGTCATGGCAATGTTTGTGTTGACCGCGGGGACGGGGTGAGGTGTAGCAGTTGGAGCTCTCAGAGTGGAACCGGCAACGGACGCATTGGGCGCTGGAAGTGCATCTTGGCCGTGCGTGTCGGAGGGAAGGTTCATGGCTGTAGGATCTGCGGTGGTGGAGTGAAGGGAGACTAATTGATTCGATGGAGCCTACGCATGTTGAGCAGAGAACAAGAGCGCCGCCCAGTGGATCCGTGACACAAGGAAAGGTGCGGCCGGTGTAGAGAGCGCGGTGTGATCGAAGCGGCGTGAGCGTGAGGCAGGTGGGTGAAGGAGCTTGATTGAGGGCCTGCCTGGAATGGAATGCCGAGAGAGTTTGAAGGAGAGAGGCCTACTGTTTCATGCGGTCCCGAATGCGTGCTGGTTAGATTAAAGCTGCACTGCGATTGAGGAGCCTGCCTCGAGTGGAATGGCAGCAAGCGCGACCAACCACCTTCCACGGCAGACGAAGGGAGGCCGAGTCCCGGGACCAAGACGCGTTTCGTGTGGTATGGTCGGGTCTGGGGGGAACAGGTGTGAGGGCTGGCGGGCGGGCGGATGATTGTGTGCGGCGGCGATGGCTATATTGGTGTGGACGCCTGCGCCAGGCAGACGGGCGAACTCTCTCTCTCTCTCTCGCGCTCTATCTCTCTCTGTGCTGTGTGTGTGTGTGTGTGTCTGTGTCTGTGTCTGTCTCTCTGCGCACGTAGTCGCTGCTGCTGCTGCCGCGGTGTGTGTGTGCGTTGTACGTCGCTGCGATGCGCTGCACCGCGCCGCGCGGATCTGTGCAGCCGAGTGGGTTGGGTGGGTTGGGACACAGCAGGCGCGCCCACGAGGCTGAGGTTCGTGCGTGGGGTGCAGGCAGGAGCGAGCCTCCGTCAATCAACAGAAGCGAGAAGGAGCGACGGAGCGGCGTAAGGCGCGGCTGCTGAGGGCGTAGGTAGTGCAGACTCGGTGCGGTGCGGTGCGGTGCGGTGCGTTGCAGGCCAGGGCAAGGCAGGGCAGGGCCGGGCAGGGCAGGGCAGCTGGCTCGCTTGCTGGCTGGCTGGCGCGCTGCGCGCTGAGTGACACGGCGGCTGTGCGCTTGGAGACGATGACGATGCGCCGGGGAGGAGTGCGAGGTGGGGACGACACGGCGTCGTGGTCGTGATGTCTGCGGCGGCGGAGGGGTTCAGGGAGAGGAGGAGAGGAGGAGGAGAGAGGGTGGTGTGGTGTGGTGTGGTGTGGAGTGGAGTGGAGTGGTGTGGTGTGTCGGTGAGGTGAGGTGAGGTGAGGTGAGGTGGGCGCTGATAGAAGAGCGGTAGTGGTGTGGGAAGGGAAACTATTTTTCGGCAGGCATTTCAGGGTCAAATTAGGTTGGGTTTTGAATTCGCGGCCGGCCTTGCTGGCGCCGAGGACAGCGGGAGAGGGAGGGGGGGTTGTTGCTACTGTAGCAGTGGAAGAGGAAGGAGAAGAGGGTACATCACACGGCGGGTGTCTCTTCTAGCAGTGTCTGCTGCCTGCCTGCCGTGCAGCAGACTGACACTGCACACTGCACACTGCGTGAGGCTGGCGAGGAGCATCATGACTTGCAGCAAGCATCACCAACAAGCGTCCCGGGAGCGAGGCGACCAAATCTCACACGTTCCTGGTCTAAAGCCCCGAGGGCGCCATGGGACGGGCGAGTTAGCGCAGCCGTGCCTCGCGATGACATGATGCTGCATGATGCTGCATGATGCTGCATGATGCGCACACTCGACTCGACTGGCAACTGCCGAGCGGCCGGCCAATCGAATGCCCTCCTCGGTCCTGACCCTCCTGGGCCCCTCGCCTCAACTTCCCCCCGCGGGCGCCCTTCAAGTTCTTCTCACCCTCCCGCTTTCTCTAGCTACTCACATTATATTATTCACTACTACTCACCTACCCTCACCGCCTACACTCACAGTACTCAGTACAATCTACACCGGCCGCCGCTGCGTCTGCCGCGCGCGCTCCCTCCCACATACGGCGCAGCATACGGCGCAGCAGACCCAGCTCCTCCTTCCTCCCGTCTCGTCTGCATGAGCGCTGCGCTGCGGGCGACGCTTCCGGTGTGAGATGCTGCTGCTGCTGATCATGATGGCGATGCGCTGGCAGCATGGCATCCTGTCAATCCTGTCATGTCCGCTCCCAGCCCGCATGCCCTGACCTGACATGGCATGGCATGGCATGCCACGGTCACGCGGCGCTATTTGATGAACACACAGCTCCTTCCATTCGTTGTCGCTCGCTTTCCGACACCCCCTCCGTACTCCCTTGCACCTTCCTCCCGCCCTCGTTCACGGCCAATACGGTACCTCCAGCCCTCCTCACGCCAACTTCTGTACGAATCCATTTCGGGCTTCGGAAACTAAGGCATGTAGCCTCACGCATCTCCCCTCCGTGCCCGCGAATTATCATGACGCTGCCCAGGACCGCTTTCCTGCTAGCGATGACGAGATGTCATCCGCGGTGCCCTGGCTGCCGCGCAATACCGGGGAAGCGCCTTGCAGCGGTACACCTACCTTCAATCTTTTCCATCTCTCCCGCCCAAGCCTATTGCCCATGTGGCGCTGCGCTGTCGGTCGCCAACCCTGTCCGCACTCGCGCACTCCATGTTTCATTATTCCATAGCCACCGCTTGCTGCACGGGGCAGAGAGATCGCAAGTTACTACCTTTACCACCGCCGACTGCCCAAGCTACGTATTCGTATTCGCTAGCACCACGCTTCGCCTGTCGGGCATGCACATGCGGCTTTCCAGCGACTCGGTGTGCTACCGGATAGCCCATCACTGCTTGGCACCACCTGCCGTGAAACAGAATAGAACGATCGGTACCAGGAGCGTTCTCTACAGGGGTGCTAGCCCTCTCCACCACACTAGCTGCTACCTTACCCTCCAAAACGACGTCCGCGGACCGACAGGCCAGGGAGCGTGGACGCCGGCTCCCACCCAATCAGCCACAGCTATCGCCTACATCTCTTTGCCGGATGTAGCTTCCAGTAGGACTGAATTCGCCTGCACCGTCAGCTGACCTGAAGTCAGCGGTGAGCCATTGCAAGAGCAGATTCTTGCTTCGTTGCTTAATGATCCCGTTGGGCGAAATGGTACAGAGCTCTGGTTCGGTGTTCACCGCAATAGCATGGTCCGCACACTGCGATTGGGCTCCGCCAGCAAAGCCACGCCTTGGCACTGTCTAACGACAACAGCTACCTACTACTACTGCGCACAGACATCGGAGAGCCCAATGACTCCCACTAACCCGTCATCAAAATCCCGAGATTCGGCATGCGGCCTGACGAGAGATACGAGAGATACTAGCCAGAGACGTCTCTCAACTACTTATCCGTCGCCACCAGCATCGTCTCATTAATTGTAGTTCCGATGCGCTGGCACCGGCGACCATCAATGCACGCAGCTTGAAACTGCTAACAAATGCGAAACAAGCATCCCGGGCTTACCGAGCAAGGGGCTTGCTTGCCACCACCGATGCCTCCTCTCTTCTGCACTCCGCTTCCCGTGCATGCATGGAATGTCCGATGGGAAGAGCAACCTTGTTTACCCGACGAGGCGTTTTCCAAAATACCGCTGGTGAGTGGTGACTGATGATGACCTACAAGAATCGAAAATGTCGCGATGGCGTGATGCTCATTCGAGCTGTCTCAGCCTTGCGTTTCGAACATGTTCCAAGAGAATAAAGGAAAGTGCTCGCAGCTTCACCGGTGAAGGAAGTCGTCTGCCGTGCAAGTCGAACAATTGCGGCTCAGCTCCGAGGCATCCAACCCTCCGCACCCGCCTGCATGAACTCAGCACCACAAAGCTTTGTCATCGATGGTCCGCATTGCGTGAGCGAGCGTCTGCCCGCCCCATGCGCCTCTGTGCGCCTCTATGCGACGAAGACCAAGGCAGCTTCCATTCATCACGAAGGCAACCTTCGGCGGATCTCTACCAACTGGAACTGTTTGGGGCCAGGCGCAGGTTCTAGGCGAACGTGCATATTGTTGTGCCGTTTGCCTTCTTCATTCTGCACCCTCATTAAGAATGTCTGGATCGCGTTTTGAAACGTACCACACACTCTAGCTTCTCCCTGCTACGGAGCTTTGTCGATGGCAGCTCCTCAACCTATGGCTGACGTTCCTCCTGCGTGATAGATGGTGATATCGTGAAAGTCTTACACACCGAACAACTCCGCCGCCCTCGACGATATGCCGAGACGCTGTTGTGGTATCGTCCGGACCGCGCTCAGTTGGTTTCACCGTTTGAGAAGAGTCGCAACAGAAAGAATGTCTCTGCGAGAGAGTTCTAGCTCCTCCCACATACAAGCCCCCTGTTTTAGCCAACCCATGGGAAGATCTGTTCTTACAGTCTTGGAGAACCCACTCACTCACTCATAGTTCTCCAGAGTCCAACCAAGACCTGACACTCCTCGCGTGTGTCGCCATCTGTCTCTGGATCCCAGGACGGTGGTCTTGCTTGTTTCCGATGGATTCTGAACTCGCGAACAGGCAATCTCTCAGGCAATTGCTTGCCGACTCCTCCCATGAGGAGAAGGTGGCAGTCGCAGACTCAAAAAGCGAGATTGTTCAGCTCTGCACGCATCCTCGCGCGACTTGGAAAGAGGCTCCCTCCATCGTGCTCGCCTTTCCTGCAGTCAGTCGTGCGCATCACCACAAACCCGCTCGGGCGGCTGCAACGACTTGCAAAAGCAAGACGTATGTTGTTACTTAGGTTTTGCTCGTCGGGGTCCTGTAGATGATCAACAGGGTCGTGAAGTTTACTTTGCACTGACAACTGGTGGTGCAAACGTTGTTTGTCTCAGCGTGAACACTTTGACAGGATGTGCGCGTGCTGCCATGCGCGCGAGCGTCTTTTGATTTTCTTCGGAAAAGTCACTTTCACCGCTTTAGGCAATACGTCGATTTCGAGGCTTAATGATACTAGGTCGTGGTCAGTGCGGTCCTGTTGATTCGCGATGCTTAGACTTCACCTCCTTCCCTTGTCACACGCAGCTATTGCGCCTTCCATTCAGTGACGGGAAGATTGGTCGGGGTTTCCCACTCCTCGATGTGCTCCATGATCTGCAACTGTCTGGCATGATTGATCTGCCCGGGTGATTCAGGCGAGTTATCCCGAACGGACAAGTTGGAAACCACAGACTTCCGTCCGAACCACGGGCACACAGTCTTCAGGAAGCATGTTGCGCCTTCCCATCTCAGCACAGATCGAGATGAGCGAGATGTACACCCCGCGGGAGGAGTCGTGGCCATCCACGCTCGTGAGCTTGGCAGTCATGCCATCCGTCCTACCTTCTAGTATGTCGTTGGGGCCAAGACTTCTCGGGGGCACGGAACAAGATCTGAAAGGAATTCGACTGCGCTGAGGGAAGAGTCCTGAGACCGCATCATGTTCGTTCAAAGGCACGCTGAAAATCACAGGAGAATGTCACATTCACGCAGAGAGGGCAGCAGCCCAGTCGAGGACGCCCGCCCGTCAAGTGGAGACTGGCGCGAGACTTGCCGGCGCTCTGTGCAAAAGTCTTCCGCCTTTGCAGCCGCAGGTCTGTGGTATGGAAGCCTGATTCCTACACGCGATGCGAATTTCCTCAAGAGATTGCTCATCACGCGGAGTGTCGCGTGAGCGCTCGCTGGACAGCTACGTACTCCTCCCTCGACGGCCAGCCTTTCCGGTCTCGTGAGCTTCCGCCAACTCGGGACGCGCTTCGCACCGAATGTGCAGATTCCGTTCGTACGACGGACGATTTGTGCTCGCACTCGAATCGACAAGTCATACAACAAGACGTCCGGGTTCCCCGCAAAGACTTGGAGCACGTCCAATAACGACCTCTGGCAGGGTTCGCGTAATGGGGGTCGGGATGTACTCATGCAACCAGACCTCCTCCATCTCCTCAGGTCACCCATGGGGTCTCTTCGTCAGGCTCGAATGAGGAGAGTCGCGCTTCTTGACAAGGCATGTCCTAACTCTGAAGAAGCTATCCATATCTCAGCTCGCAACAAGTTACATGCACTGCCTCGACAGCAGCGGGGTCCGGCACGATTTGCACCGGCCCAGTGCTTTCCTAACAGTCTGAATGGGGTAACAACGCTTAATTCTGCGTGTTCCTCGAAATTGAATATCCAACCGATCTCATGAGTGGCCGTCGACCGGTGTCGGTGGGACCGGGCTGCCATTCTGGTGTACATAGTCTAATTGACAGCGCAGATTGGACATGACACACCTTGAGGCGCTCTCCCTTCTCACCGACGCAAGGACGAGTGGATGCTAGGCATACTCCGCATGAGAGCTCTTCTTCTGGATGCAGAATGGGTGAGATTGTCAGTAGGTCCTTGTACGTGCCTCTCATCCCCCGTTCCCGCTGTCCCTTTTCTTGCCGGCTCCTGTCCTCCACTCTGATTTCCCCTGCTCGCCTGTGCAGAATCCCTTGACCCGTGGGCCGAAGGACCGGACGGACCTGAGGAGAAAAGATTCTATAAAGGACCGTTTCCACTCGGTGCGGGGAGCAGAGCGAAATGCCTTCTGTAAAGAAACCGAAGAAGGTGCTGTCCATCCGTGGACTTCGCGAAGAGATGTCTGGAATCCATCAAGTCGAACAATACGGCGCGCAGCAGCGTGTGCTCCACCGAGAGCTGGCCGAGTATGGTCGCCGCCGCGGCATGGAGTATCCATACTCCGACAATCTCGAAGTTGACGTCTTGATTGTCGGGGCTGGATTCGGAGGAGTCTTCCTGCTCCACGAGATGAGGAAACTAGGGTACAAGACGACAATTTATGAGGCTGGGACAGGCTTTGGTGAGGACATTCCGTGTGGTGGGCCTGTAGCAGTTGTTGACGTTCGTTTCCAGGAGGTACATGGCGTTGGAACATCTATCCGTGGGTGCGATCGAAATAGCTCGAGGCTTCCTCGCTGACCCACTCGCAGCGGTGCTCGCGTGGACAGCGAAGTCCCGATCTACGAGTTGAGCATTCCGGAGGTCTGGAAGGACTGGACGTGGTCCACAAACTGTGAGGATCTTCTGCCATATTGCTCGCCGGATCACTGACGTATGTCTTGGTATAGACCCTAATTATCAGGAACTGTAAGCTAGTTGTCCTTCTGCATCAACTTCAAAGCTGACGGCCATCCTCTTCCAGGCAGGCGTACTTTGCCCACGCCGACAAGGTCCTCGAGTATGTTCCGCTCATCAACATGATTCACAGGCAGCTGATTCATCCCACAGGCTGAGCAAGGACTGTGCCTTCGAGACGGTCGTCGTTGGAGCTGAGTTCGATGAGAAGGCCGGAAAGTGGACTGTGAAAACCGTCGACGGGCGAACCGCAAAAGCGAAGTTCTTGATCGTGGCAGCTGGATGTAAGCACCATCACGACTCCTGCTCAGTGTCGTGAAACAAACACTTACCTACCTCTTCTAGTTGCTGCCAAGCGCTACATCCCCGACTTTCAGGGCCTCGACAAGTTCAAGGGAACGATGTACCATTCCTCTTTCTGGCCTGCGGAGGGCGTGGACGTCCGCGGGAAGAAATGTGCGGTGGTCGGCACCGGTGCCTCAGGTGTCCAGGTCGGTTTCAGGCTGCGTAACCTCTCCCTTGATACTTGGCTGATGCTTCGTCAAAGATCTTCCAGGAATGGGGACCGATTGCAGGAGATTTGAAGATCTTCCAGAGTGAGTAGGTTGTACTGTCCCACAGTGACCATGCTGACTGCTTTTAGGAACTCCCAATCTAGCTCTTCCAAGTAAGACCGACGCATACTGCCCGCGTTTTTTCTTGGCTAATGCTTGGCGACAGTGGGAAAGCGTGACCTGAGCGTCGAAGAACAGAACAAGCTGAAGCCGTTCTATCCGGAACTTTTCGCTTACCGTGAGAGATGCTTTGGTGGCTTCTGCTTCGATCTGGATGAGAGGTACACCTTTGATGTTCCAAAGGCGGAGCGAGAGGCATTTTACCAGATGCTCTGGGAGCATGGTGGCTGTAAGTGGATCTGTTTTCTCCTCGTGCTTCAGCGAAGGTATACTGACCTCGTGTAGTCGCTTTCTGGCTGGGTAATTTCGCCGATTATCTTTACGATAACAAGGCCAATCGCGAGGCCTACGACTTCTGGGCCAAGAAGCAGCGTGCTCGCCTGCACGATTCCAGGAAGCGCGATCTTCTCTGTCCCCTGGAGCCACCGCATCCTTTCGGTGTCAAGCGTCCTTGCCTGGAGCAGAACTATTACGAGCAGTACAACCGCCCCAACGTCGACGTTGTTGACATCTCCCCAAAGTCAGGCAACAGCATTGCTGCCTTCACCGAGACTGGCATCAAGACTACCGATGGCAAGCATTACGAGTTCGATGTCATCGCCCTTGCCACGGGATTCGATATCACCACCGGCGGCATGACCAGCATGGGCCTGAAGAGCGTCAAGGGAACGTATCTCAAGGATGAGTGGAAGAAGGCAGCGTACACCTACCTTGGCACTACCGTTCCCGGATACCCCAACATGTTCCATCTGTACGGACCGCACGGCCCGACCTTGCTCTCCAACGGGCCCACCAGCGTGGAGATTCAGGGCCGCTGGATCCGTGATTGCATCAACAATATTACGCAGCAGGGCATCAAGTTTATCGACCCAACTGACGAAGCCAGCAAGGAATGGAAGAAGCGCATCAATAGCTTGAGTGACATCTCGCTCTTCCCGACCACCAAGTCGACTTATATGGGTGGCTCTCTCCCCGGCAAGGCTTTCGAGCAGGTTAATTACGCGGGCGGAGAGGCGAAGTATAAGGAAGAGATCCGTGCGAAGCTGCCGGGTTTTGTCGGTTTCCGTGTTGTGCGACAGGATGCTGGAAAAGCCGCTGCGTAGTGGTCGGTCGGTACGAGATGGTCTTGTTGCGATGGCGATCGGGAAATGAGACTATTGTGCGCTCAAAATTGCATTCCTACTTGCTCGTGAGTCTCTTGATCCGGTTTCAGTGATGTTTGCACTTTCCTCTTGAAGGCTTCCCGGTGCCAACTATGTTGACGTTAGCGGGCGTGCTGCTACTTCCTCTCCACCGACATCAGAGACCGGCGTCACTCCTGCTATGCACATCGCTGCAACCTGCATACGGTCTTGTAGCTTCCAATTCCTAAACGCCCGACAAATTCATCAACAAAGACGAATCTCATCATCGGCATTTCACTCGGACAGAATACCGCACATCGATTGCTATCACCATGGCTCCCACGACGCCAGTTCCTCAGCCGACAAACCTACCCAGCAAAGTCTTCGGCATTGTTGAACTCACAGAGGTACTCTTCCGAAGGCAAGACGTAGCGAGGATTCCTTTTGCTAACAGACCCACGGCACATTTTACTCCATCTCACTGCCCGCGACATTCTGCGTGCACAGCAAGCATCCCGCCGCTTCCACGAGACGATCATCGGCTCCCACAGAATCCAGCGCGCCATGGGACTCCTACCCAATCTGGCAGCGCCCTTCACAGCACCCCTCTGGACCGAGTCGCCAGTCTTCCACGGCTTCGAACTCGGCCATCGACACGGAATCTAGTGGTTTCGGGAAGACGTCGTCAAATCCGACGGGAAGGAAGTCGAAGGCCCCAAGGAAGCTTACTACTTCAACCTGCGCGCCCGGGCGGACAAGGCATGCCTCCAACGACTCGGCTCCCGCTGTCGGTCTCTCATCCCCTGCCAGCCACCGCTGGAATGCATGAGCCTGTGCGTCAAATGCCACCTCTGCTACCGCGTCGACCAATTCACCGTGCGAGCGCTGCGGCCCAGCAGGGGGAAGTACATCACCGTGGGCGATCTCTACGACGAAGTTCTCCGGATCCGTCAGCGGCATCGGGACTCTTGCTTGTTGCCGCGGGGCAAGTCGGCTGTTGTCGTGGAGTTTTGCGGCGCTGTTGTTTATCGCGGCGAGGAGGAAGTTGTGGGGAAGGATAGCTTGTGGGCGCGGCAGAGGTCGACTGCGAGGGCTAGTGCGAGGTTGTCTTTTTAGTTTTTGGCTGGATATGAGCGAGATGAGGTGGAATTCATGTCGAGGGCATGCAAAGCTGGGTTTGGGATGTCTTGCTCTGCTGGTTGAAAGAGGGAATAGGGCGACTTCGGAAAGCTTTCAAACGGGGCTCGCGATCACAGGTCTGGACTTATGACCAAGTGTAGTAGTAGCTTCGCAATTGAGAGCACATCGCACGGTGTTGCAATTGAATATGTTCTTTGATTTCTCCATAAGATGCCTACTCCATGCCAGGGAGCAGAGTTGTTGAACCGTCCATACTTGTCGCGACTTTAGTCGGTTCGAATGGTGCATCTAAATTTTACGTTTTAGTTCGGTGAGAGCCTGAGCGAGGAGCTGCGCTGCCCTTAGAAAGGGGTCGTCACATGCATTCCGTTGTCTACAATGCCAAGACAAAGCTATATATACAAATCCGGGAGCATCCGTTGATTGAAACGCAAGAAAATTTTCAATTCACAAATAGCTACGGTGGCCGAGTGGTCTAAGGCGGCAGATTTAAGTTGGCAACAGCAAATACTTGAAACTCTGCTCTCGCAAGAGGCATGCGTTCGAACCGCATCCGTAGCACCATTTGAATTTTTTTATTTCTGCTGCTTTCTTTGTGGTGGCTGAGATGTTGGATGTTCAACTGCACCCACTTTTTTGGTAACCGATGAGAGGGAGCTGCAGGGTGGTGCGTCAAGTTCGGGTAAACTTTCATCCATACGGCCATGGCTTCATGTCTTTCCGGGTCAGGCAGCATCTCTTCTTCTTCTTCTTCTTCTGCCCTTCCATCGTCATGTTCTGGTGATTTTACCCCTCACCTACTCCAGCCTAGGCGACATGCGGCCCGACGTATACCTGAGATGAAAGTATTGACGTGCTCTGGTGGCCGCCAGCGGCAACACAGCACAGCCCGGACGAAGCCGGCTGCTGCGGACGGGCCACAGCAGTTCGCATTGCATATACCTGCACATCAGTGTGCAGCGACTCTGGCGCAGCCAGATCTCGGCCTGTGAGCGCTCTCCCATTGGTTTGGGGAGGAGCCGCAGGAACACAGGCACCGATGTGGTTCGCTCTGAAGGAGGAGCTTGCTTCTTGACCGGAAGAAATTCAACTGAGGCTTTTTTTTTTCCTCCCTTCATTCATTGAGGCCGCCAGGTATGGATGGCTACTACGTGCAAACAAGAATCTACATAGCCCGGCGACATAGCCTCCAAAGGTAGCGTCGCGTCGCGTCTTTTCATCACGACCGTTTCCCCCGTCACTGTGATTCCAAGGTCTCTCCTCCGCGAGCGAGCATGGCTCAGTCGTGGTCGTAATCTTTCCTCCTGTTATCTTTGGAAATATCTGCCTTCTTCGCCTTCTTCGCTCCTCCCTGTTGACTCGCAGTCGTCATCTTCAGCTCTGCTCTTCGTGAACATCGACGTCACTTTCTAGGTCTTGGGATTGAATCAGCAGAGCTGCAGTGTCTTGGCAGCGCAGAGAGAGATCGCATCACCTCCGGATCAGGAAGTCGCGATTGAGGCTTCGGACTTTCTCAACCTAAGCAAACGACAACAATCCAACCCTACAAACTTGTCTACATCGAGAGCGTCACCCCCAATTACGCCTCGAGTCATTGGACACCACCAGCGTTTCGGAGAGTTGACCAGGGGGATCGGTTTGCATGTGAACGAGGGACTGTGCTGGACAATCACATGCTGGTAGGTTTCACTGGCGTGCTGCAGAGTGCCTGCCACTTCCACATCTGGAGAAGCGCTCGGTCAGTTCTTCACAAGACATCACCTCTTTCGCGCACTTCGAATCGATCGCACCGCTTGCCACGCCTCGTATCAGGCTTCACAACACCTATCTCATCGCCATCGTCCTCAGCTTCGCCCGTATTGTGCCGCGCCCGACCGGATCACTCAGAGCCGCTATCCAGCTCGACAGACTGCTCGACAAGAGCCATCTCGCCCGCCGGCACCTCTCATCACCCGTCGTGAGGACGCGATCCAGAGCAGACGTCAACTCGAATGCCCACGCCTGACCGAAAGATTCCGCAAGTGCGTTGGACAGCATCTTGAGCAGTCTGTCGATCTTGGCAATCCTACCAACTCTCTGACCACTGCATGCGCTGAGACCATAATTACGATCTCGCGCCGAGCTCTCCTGGTCTTTTGAATGTCACAACGGCCCCTGTATGACGCTGAAGGCAACATGGTCGACGTGCAAAGCAGAGTCATCGTGCCGCGGGAAGCTGTGAGCCAGTATGTTTCGGGGCTGCAGTTTCAGCACCAGCAGCAACAGGCTGTGGCACGATTCCGAGGTGAGGGCAGCAGGCAGGAGATGGCGGATGAGGGCGAGGACGAGGGCAGGTACTAATAGGTGTGCAGCAAACGACCGAAGCGGCCTAGGCGTGCCAGGATCTCGGCAAGAGCCGTGCGGGCAGGGCCGGATGCCGCGACTTTTCGCAGGCAATCGCGCTCAGCCCTCAACCGTGATCAGGCGTGAGTAGTCAAGACTTGGCATCTCATCTTCCTGCCTGTGCCGTTCCCGCAGACCGAGAGACTGACAGCCAAGCAGACACGAGCAGACAGGCTGCAGGTGCTCGCCAGAGCGTGGCCACCCCGGATACAAATAACACGTACGGCAGTGAGGCTGTGCCCTCTTACGACACCGCGACCGCGACCGCGACCGCGACCGCGACCAGCTGCACCGCGACTTCCGGGCGCATCGCTGATTCTGCTACTAGTACTGGTTGGCTGCCTCAGGAATCTTCTTCGCCGGCCTTGGGCTCCTACTTCCACCCATCACATACCACTTGGCCTGCGAACGTGTCGGCGCCTGGGCTCTTGTACGATCCGTCGCCGTCGCCACACACCTCGCGCAACCCACCCAGCATAAGAGTCATCACCGCCTGGGACGGGTCCGGTGACCAAGATTTCCCACAGCCTCAGGACGCGCCCTTTTCCGCGTCATCTGCCTCACCTTTGCCACACGACTACGCTCCGTATAACAGCGATTTTTACGACTCTGGCCATTTGGGGCCCCTACCGTACCAGATGCCGCAAGAATCAGAGAACATGCAGACTCCCGTTTCGCCGGTGAGCGCGACCGCGAATTCGCCCCAGGATCAATCCATGGGCGAGCCGCAATTACAGCAATTTCCCACGCGGAAGCGATCCCACTCTGTCATGTCGCAGGCCGATGCAGCGGCACTCATGGACAACACGCATCACAGTAGATCTGGATCCGTCGCGTCTGTGACTGCTGGCTCTCCGAACGATCCGACTGACGACTATCCTCGAGGCTCGCGAGCATTCAAGCGCGGAGAGCCGCCCCAGAATTCGGAGAACAAATTCATTTGCACATTTTCTGATGAGTGCCAAGGTCAGACATTCGACAGAAAGTGCGAATGGAGGTGAGTAATTCTAGGCAATTCTGATTTGGCTGACGCAGCTGGCTAACACACGAACAGCAAGCACATGGACAAGCATGACCGTCCGTACCGCTGTCCACATCCGTCATGCGCGAAGCTGCAAGGCTTCACATATTCCGGTGGGCTTCTTCGACACGAGCGAGAAGTACATGGCAAGCATGGCGGGCCCAAGACTCAAATGATGTGTCCGCACCCAGAGTGCAAACGGCATACCGGCAAGGGCTTCACACGCAAGGAAAACCTGAACGAGCACCTGAGGCGGGTGCACGCGAGCAAGGAGGACGAGTCACAGCAATCGCTTCTCGGGCAGTCAACGACAGACATCACTCTCGGAGCGCCCGATGGGGAAACACATGCGTCGCACATATCTGAAGCCGTGGATCACGAACTCGCTCCCACCTCGGGCCCTCCTACGAAGAGGAAGCGTTCATTACCACCAAGTGTAGAAGATGGTCTCGGCGAGGATCCGGCGGACATGGCTCAGCGGGAAATCAAACACCTGCGCGAGCTCCTCGCGCAGAAGGATCAAACGATTAACAATCTGCACGCGGATGTGATGGCGCTGGAAGCGCAGACACAACAACTGCAGGCACAGCTCCTGCAAGCACAGCATCAGCAGCCGGCCACCCAAGGATAACTTTCTGTGGACTTGCATTTCGATTGAATACACGGGAAGGAGTTGGTCAGGCGAAAGAGCGAGACTGTGCATGGCCATCTCGGGAGGGTATCCCTGTTGCTGCGGGCATTCTTTGCCATTTTCACATAGTTGCTTCGCTGCTCAATACCCCGGAACGCTCATAGAGATTGTGTTGATAATCCAATTGGTGAAAATGTTGGTAGTTCATATAGTCCTTTGAAGTGCTTTGATCTGACGTTGACCTGCATGTTCTGCCTCAGGCATGTCGGCATATTGTAGGTGAATGGATGTATCTGGAGATAGAAACGCTTCCTATACATAGTTCTGTACAACTGAGGTATCCCGAACTTCCGTCTTGCAACGCTTCAACACTCTGCCATGAAGTTTATTGCGAGCATTCCGGCTTCACTGTACTCTCCACTTGCCCATGCTACGCGCATCCCCTCATCGTGATCTCTCCGTGTTCGCTGTACAGTATATGCGCCGGTGCATTCGCGAGCCTTCTCAGGAGAGTCTGGCTAGCCGCACAGCGCTGTGCCCTCATCCGCTCTCTACCACGGCAGCTCGTAGCCTTCTCGGTGCCAGAATTTGCCCGTATCGTCTATTCCATGCGCCATGAAAACCTTCCACAGCTTGCCCGCAGCTTCTTCGGGCTCTACCGCTTCCGCATGCTCCTCCGCGTGCGGGTTCAGGTTCGACTTCACGATGCCCGGGTGCAACAAGCTGACCACCACGCCTCTGTCCCGCAGATCCACGCTCAGGCTCTTTCCGATGCTGTTGACCGCCGCCTTGGAGGCGCGATAGGCGTAGGAGCCACCGGTGCTGTTGTCGTTGATGCTGCCGACGCGCGAGGAGACGATGCCGATGTGTGGGGTTGGCGCGGCGAGGAGACTGTCGAGGAGGGCCTGCGTGAGGAGCAGCGGGCCGAAGGTGTTGGTTTCGAACGTCTTGGTGCAGATGTCTTTGGTGACCGAGCCCAGCGCGTCTTCTTCTGTGGGAGCCATGACGCCGGCGACGTTCAGGAGGACGTCGACGGGTTTGCCGGCGAGCTGGGCTGCGAGGCCGTTGATCGATTCTGGGGAGCGTACGTCGAGGCCTAGGAGAGAGAGGGATTAGAATTGATAGCGTAGCTTTGTGAGGCGTACGAGACCACGCACGATGTAGACGACATGGTAGGGATTGTAGTTTCTCTCCCACGTCAACGTCTGCGGCCTGTGAGAGGATGAATCGTCAGTGGTCCCAAGTCGGATCTACCAGGCGGAGACACATGGGAGCATACATGTACTTCGAAGCCCTTGAGTCGTGTTAGTTGAGAGCTTGTATCCAGGTGCGATGGCTTCTTGAGTCTTGCACGATCGTACCTCGTTGATCAGAAGCTGTGCGAAGGCATGGCCGATGCCACTGTTGGCTCCCGTCACCACTGCAGTAGGCATATTCCTGTTGCTTTTATGCCAGTGGGGCCTCGTTGGAAGTACGATAATGAGAATATTCTTTGCTAAGGTAGAGATGTGCCTACAAGAGTCCACTTGCAGCGCACAGCTCGAGGCTCACCCGTTTTATGGAGACTGCTGCGTGAGGGGACATCGCCAACGTCATTGTTGCGGCTTGTGAGCAGGCAAAGGAACATGGCGGTGGACGCTTGCATGACCTTCTCTTCGAAGGTTTTTCATGTAGTAGAGCATTCGAAGGATACCTCGAAATTGTTGTCGGTAGAGAGGGAACTTCACCCATGGCCCAGTGTAATTAGCGGTATGTTGGGCACCCTTGCACCAGACTGACACGTGACCTTGATGTCACATGCA